CATGGGCAGAGCGCTCGATGCCGACATCAACAAACCATGAGCGATAGGCAGTGTACAAAGGAGCGAAAGATGACACATCATCCTCCCCTTCTCGAGTCAGAAAGACGTGGACCTCATGAAGGACACGGCCGATCTTCTGCCTGAGTTGATGAAGAAGTTTGTAGTTAGCATCATCAGGCTTTAACAACTCGCCAGCAGGATACTGGAAAGAGGGCTTGATCGATGTTTCGTCGGTGCCATCAAGGGAAGAGTCATTGTCCAAGACGTCACTGGGTTGTTCCGGAGCGTGGCCATTTGCCTGAGACATTGAGGTGTCGGTATCGGCATCAACACCTGCCGCAGTCGTGGTCAGACCCTCATTGACACCCTTGGAATCAAAGAGAACTGATACTCCAGCGAGGAGCAGGCGTAGGAGAACCAGATTCCTTGAGACTTCGTCCGACCACTCCTTGCCGCTGCCGTCGCGTTTAATACTGGATGAGCCATCGATGAGGCGTTGCAGATGTTGCACCGCGCTTTCGGCTTGATTCTCAAACAATTCCACGGCGAAATCAATTTCTTCTTTGCAGGGAACGTGCCATTTTGGTTTGACGGTTGCCGGTGGTTCTGCCGCGCCCCAGAGTTCTGCAGTTATCCCATTCTTGACTCTGTCCGGTTCATACAAGGCGTAATCGGCGGTGTAAGTTACTGTGAGGTTTAGCAGCAGATGATGCACGTAGTTGGAGACGTGCACGGTCGGCATGCCCTTGCATTTCTGCTGCATGTACACAGCGATATCGAACAGTTCCTGCTTGTATTTCAGGACTGCGGAGCCGACATGAACCACGCACATACTCAGCATGCTGATATTCCAAACCAAGCCTCTATCTCGAGGCAGGACATCGGAAGCAGCATTCCTGGTTGAGCCGGCACCGTTCTCATCGATTTCAGTGCGAATGGCACTGATCAAGACAGGGATGAGTTTTGCCAGGGCTTTCTCAGGGTCGACCTTGCACAAGCAGTTGCAAATAAAGGCCATTGCATCTCTCGATTGATGGATGACGTGGTTCGCAACAAAGTCAACAATTTTGTTCAATGCCAGGTCGTACAATTCTGGCGAGAGAGATGCAAGCAAAGGCATAAAAGCTGCTGGCAATGTATTGACGATGTTTTCTTCGGGAGATCCACTTCTGACACGCGCTGCATCTGGCAAATTTTCCAGCAGAGTGAAGACTCGGCCCAGGAACGATGTGACGAATTCTCCAAACCCAGCAGTGGACGAGGCAAGTATCAACTCTTCATCCCTTTCATTCAAGGCGGCGTAATTCAACTCGACTTGGGAGCCTTCCTGCTCCATACGTTCCATCTCCCCTGTGATCCAGTCTATAGCCAGCATGTTACCTTGAACATCTTCTCGGCCCTTGGAAAGATCCTCAAATGGTATATTGTAGCACACATTCGCGAAGAACGACAAAGTACAGAGCGTTTTGTCCAGATCATTGGCGTCGATACCAGGCAGGGCAAGACCAAGGAGAGCCGTGATATGACAACGGTAGCCTTTGGTCCTGATCATTGTCCTCGCCAAGATTTGCAACGATCGTATAGAGGAGATTGTTCGGTGCACCTCAACAAGCCCCTGCATTGAAGGGTAGATTCGTTGGAGGGCACCGGGGAGGATCAAGTCTGGCTCCAAAAATGCTAGGGCTTGAAGGGTTGACAACGAATAGCTCATGGCTGTTCCGCTCTTGGCATAAATGCCCATGAATATGACTTCTCGCAAACAGAGGACAAAACGTCTCCGCAATGCTTCATTGAGTTTTCGCTCTTCAGGGACCTCCATTTCACCATTGCGTTCTCTGTTCCACCGCATAACGAAGAAATCTGCCAGGTAGAACACAAGCTGGGCTAGGGTGCGGGTCCAGGAGCCAGAGTTCGAGGGGTGGAAAAAAGTCTCAATGGCCTGTATCAGAGTCTCGAGAAGAGAAAGGACCGATGACTTCTTTTCCAGGCAGACCGGTGATAATGACATGACAAACCAGCGGGCAATGTGATGTGAAACCGGGTGCTTGCGTGAATCGCGATCCAGTAGAAACCCCATGCCGGCTGTGATGTCCACCAGAGCACTATAGGGAGAGGTGGATTGCCCTACAGGAATCTCCAATAACCTCAGAACCGCAGTTGTGATTAGCGTTGACTGCTCAGCGGTGAATATCCCGAACTCGGAAAACTCGACCTGTTTACTAGGCAGTGAGTCTCTAGCCAGGCGAGAGAGAAGATCGACCAGGGCAACATCGACGGTTCGGGAGCGATTGACCAACGACCACAAGTGGAAAAAGGTGGGAAGAAAATGTTGGGGATTCAGGTCGGATCGATTGAGCGGAGGGGGTGCTGTTGGCAGCAGCATATTCAGCAGCCCTATCACCACAAATGCGCCCTCAGTCGACGACATTGTGAAATAGGGGAGAACTTCTTCCAGCATCGCAGGGATGTCCTCTGGATCAAAATACAGTTGGGCGAAGGAACTGATTTTGATCAGTGTCTTGATATTGCGCTTGAGGTTGGTGGTTTGCATCAAGCCCGACTCGCTTGGTAACACGAATACTTTGATCTCTCGGAAGAGCGGCCGCCAGTCAAGGGTTAGATCGAGCAAAGGACGCAAGTAGTGTTTTCGTCTGCAGACATGTCAGTTGAGAGACCCTTCAAGGCCGTGGACTGGGAAACAACAGACTTTGTGAGTAGCATGAACATGCTAGCGAAGCGTTCGGCCACACTTGGATCAATGCCAGGAGCGAGAGCGAGTTCATAGTAAAGCCTAACGAGCTTCACGCGCTGTTCTTTGGTGGGATCAAACTTGAGAGAGAGCCAGCTGCGCAGTTCCCTAGTCCAATGCACCGCACCTGGAGTGAAGTCGCTGGCCTGGATCGCAATGTAAAGATGTTTGAGTATCTCTGCCAGGTCTTCCTGTCTCTTCGCCTCATCTTCCACAGTATATGGCAAGGTAGAAAAGTAAGGGTACGTTCGAGGTCTGCTGCGCTTGCACTGGTTGCCGGACTCGTTCGTTTGACCATCTTGCATGGCTATGGTACCGGCCGGAGAGGTCGCTCTTGAGATTTCAGAGCCTTGTTTGGTAAGGCTGCCGTTGAGGAGCTCTTCCATGTGCTGCTTTGGGATTTCCATGGCCTTTTATTTGTTCGCCCGCTGAATCGTTGGGATCATCCGAGTCGAAGGAGTGAGGATTTATCGATTGTCCTGGATCATACCGACGCTGACAGAAGCAAGAACCACAACTTGGACGACACACTCTCTTGTCGAGGGAATGGTCGTACGAGGACTGGCAGGCGACGTGGTTGTATACGACTCCAGGCGCTTAGCAAGCTGCGGTGCAGCCTTGCGATGTCGTACGTCACGTTTATGCCTGCGAACAGGTACTCGACGATGCGGAGGAGGAAGGCTCAGGAGGTAGGCAATGTCACGTCATCCGAGAAAGGCAACAATATATTCGATAATAGGATAATCAGTTGCTAAATATGAGGAATTTGCTCAACTGCACGCGACACTCGAGTATGAACATGTCTGTCCCAAAAGCTCCGCAAGGCACGAGGCATCAACACAGCAGCAGCGCCGCCCAGGCGAGGGAAAGGCTTGGCACTGTCAACTGTCACCATGCATCAATGTGCACCTGCGCTTCATCACTTTTTCTGTTCCATAGTCTCTGCCCCTTTAGCAGCCATCTCAATTTCCTTTCAATTCCCCAGCTCGTGCTTCCTTGGTCTCGCCAGGCTGCCTCCTTGTCTTGAGGTCACGATGTCAGTCTTCCTGAACGAGGTGCCGAAGTCATCCGGGAAACATGTACCCCAGATCAGAGCTGCGACCAACAAATCTTCACTCCCAGAGTGGGTGGTCCTGTCCTGGCCTATTTAAACGATCTTCCCGGGTGAGGACTAGCGAAATGCTTCTTCTCTCGTGTCAAGAACAGTGCCATCCTAAGTCGTTTCTCGGCTGCAAGCGATTGTGCAAATCGATTGTGCATATGCTTCATGTCTGGTCGAAACGGCCTTACAGAATGTACCTGCAATCTGACCATAATTGACCAAGATTGACATCCCCAGGACACGAGAAGGTAAATTTTCGAGCTGGTGCCTTGGATGTCGAAAGGGCAAGGTGATATGGACAGGATACTCCTATGGAGTGTTTTCCTTTCTACCCTGCCTGGCGTTTCTGAATCTTTCGGCACGATGGCTACCTAGGTGTACCTAGGACTCGGAATTCCGAATTTCACCTTTTGCAACAAGTCTCAATGACGGAACAAGACTACATCTTGCTCTGTATGCTCTTGATCAACCTTTTTCCAAGTCATTTTGGAAGGTTGAACCTCGAATTTGGGTTTCTCTGTCGTACCCAGTCCAAGCTGATCGAGCGACCTTATCTCTGAACTACCTTACTCTGACCACTCCTCAGTCCCCTGTCGGAATCCAGGAAAATAGGTCGAAGAGCAGTATGTGCTTTTTGCAGGGTCTTATGCATGTTAAACTCGAATCCTACGAAAAAGAACCAGACTTGCCTCAAACCCATCCACTGGTCGTGGGGAACAGCAGAGATGGTACCAGAGGTTATCGGCGTCCATGGACTTAGCTCAAAAGAGGCCAAAGAAACCATTAGGAACCAAGAAGTCGGTCGGTGTTAAGCCATGGGTAAGAAATTGCTTCCAGGCCAGGATTCATTACTATCCGCCCACAACTACTGGGTCATGGAAACAAGATCCGGAATCGCCCGCGAACGGGCCATTACCGACGATAGCGCATTGCAACTGCGCAGTTGACAGTTTTCATCGCCCAGGCCCACAACGTTGCATATGCATCTCGGCATTAATTTTTAACTCCGCCCTGTAACATATAGCGAATACCACTTCTCACCTGGATCACTCTGGACTTGGATCCCATCTCCTGCATAACAGCTGTGCCATTTCGCTCGCTAACCTCATCTCATATGCTTTCTTGCCCGCCATTTCCTTCATGCGGACCATGGCAAACGCAGTCTTCTCACCTGGCGACCTGTCATCGCCACTGTCAATCTCACCTCATGAAACCGCGGTGTTGCTCATGGACTATCAAAACATGACTCTTGCGGGGATTGGGGACGTTGCCGCAACCAGTGTCCTCAACATTGCTTCACAGATGCGCGACTGGGCACTCGACAAAGAGATGACCGTCTTTCACTGCCTCATCGACGCTTCGCCCGGCTCAAAGCCTCCCGATCATTCGAGGATCGCCGCAGGATGGAAGATGTATGAAACGAAACTAGCTGGAAAGCCATGGTACGGTCGTGAAGCGGAGACACTGGCAGATAAAAGGCATCCCGACCGCGAGCTCACCTTCGTGAGAACACCGGGATTCATCTCCGCCCTTGAGTCTCATGGACTGTCGAGCCTGTTAAAGGAAAAGGGAGTCAAGTCGCTCATCATCGGCGGCATCACCACTTCTGGCTGTGTCCTGAGTACCACTCGTGCTGCGACAGATCGTGGGTATATCGTGACGGTGATGGAAGACGCATGTTTTGATCCAGTTCCAGGCGTGCATGGCATGTTGGTTACACATGTCTTGCCCATCAGTGCTCACGTGGCCACGTCATGGGAAATCCAGAATGCATGGAAGATTCTATAATGTTTTGTTCTGGGCATGTCTTGGGGATTAAGAACTGGACCCTCCGCTGCGGCGCACTTGCCATTCCCAAGAAGCTATTGAATTTGCAGGTGCGAGGCAGGCGATTCTCACATATAACGGGTTGTGCCAAGTCCGTCTTTTCTTGTAGTTGGCACGCATGATCCGAAATCCACCTAACCGCCATAGTAATTTTTCTTCGTATATCCATATCATGCAACGATAATTTCGTCAAAGACAGAGCCAAAAATACCCCACTCGTCGAAGTTGAAATCGCTTGGACTTGGGAAGTTGTCATTCTGTACGGGGCGAGTCAGCTTCGTCTCTCACGGCCAGATGAGCCACTTACCATGTCGGCGAATTGGAATTCTTGACGGCCGAGCACCACATTGTCGTCAGAATCCAGCCCTGGGCGAATGTCTCTCTTCCCCGCCTCTGCTGCTTTTTGGGCGGTCCGCCTCGCAAGGTTGGCTACATCACGGGCAAATGGATAGCTCATGTCGCCCTCGGTGACGAATTGCATGTTCGCAAAGTACCCGACCATGATGTCTAGCAACGCAAGGTCGGAAGAAGTGGAAGCTCCATGCGGGTGCTTGAGCACGTAGATGAAGACATTGATCAGACCTAGCATCGGAAAGTAGAAGGCAGCCCTGAAAATCTGTCAGCAGGAAGAGCATGTGAGGAGACCCCACGATTCACTCACCATTGCGAAGCGTCTGGCTTGATCTCAACCCCTTTGGCTATGACCAGCATGTTCCTCGCTGCCCCGTGGACGATTTCGGAGCTTGCCATGATTTGCTCGCGGATGCCCTCACCCATTCGGCCATGGCCAAAGAGAGTCGAGCTGATCCAGGGGTAAGCAAATGCGGCATGAATTGAAGTCAGACCACCATAGTATCCATAATAGATCAGGACCAGCCGGCACAGTCGCCTCCTGTCGACGATCGAGAATGAGCCAAGAGTGTCTGGTGGTTTCAAATCGTCAGGGAGACAGTTTCTCCAGCCCCGTAGTTGGGCGTCCAGATCACGCACCGCCTCCAGCAGAACCGGTGAGGACCGCTGGAGGGCTTGGAAAGAAAACAACCTCTTCGCCACTTGAGACAGAATACGAGCTTGCTGGATCACAGCGACAAGCGCGGGAACATCGATTGTGCTTCCGGGGCAGGCGTCCTTCGGGACCTGACAGCTAATCTCGTCGTCATCGATCAACTGCGATCGAGATTGTCATTATCCTGGAGAAACAAAGGATTGGGTGGGGGGTATTACTCACCGAAGGCCGTCCAGAGCGCAGGGCGATATGCTTTTCACAGCAATAAACTGCCCAGAAGAGCCAATTGCATTGCTTGGCTTCGTCTGCAGACAAACTCCATCCCGACCCAGACTGTCGATGTATCCCTTTGGCATGTGCCAGTCGCACTGCCATTGAGCAAAGCTGATATTCAAGCGATGGTGAGCCCAGCCCACCAGCAAAGAATGTCTACCTCTGTCAGTTCTTCGCTGCCCGGTGCATGGAGCGGAACGTACCATGGCCAATATGCAGCGTATGGAGAGAATTCCATTCGGCGTGAAAAGAATCTGGACGAGGGACGATAGAGCCTGCTGGAAATACCCCCAGGCCTGTGATTGAATCTCTTTGTAACTCAAGGTAGAGTGTTTGGGCAGGTATATGGTGCAGCCGGCTGCGTAGATGGTCTTGCGCAGTGCGTGCCAGACTGCATCCACGTTGCGTTTCGACTCACCGCGAAGCCAGGCACTGAGTGTGGCCTCGAACTCGGGTCTGTGCACAACACCATAGATAGATTCAAAGGACTCGTCAAAGTATGCTATCAACGATGGTCAGTATTCCATCCGAGAGGAGGCGGAAAATAAAACAGCCAGAAACCATTGACAAATGCCCATGCCATCTCCGGCTCCGGCTCCGAGTTTGGCTGAGGAGCCAAAGCACTCATTTCCATGGTCAGACGCCGTGTCCATGTGGAGACCAGGTCTCTTGCACTTTCTCCAAAGTCGATGGAACCAACCGCTTGAGATACCCAAGCAAGCCCTGGTTTCGAGCAGATGGAGAGCCAGGATCCGGGCCCTGTTCCAGGTCAACAAAAGGCCCTTTTGAGCTGATAGGCGAGAATACCATGATGTTCCCAATTACCCTGCTGTCACGTAAGCCTGTAGTCTTCCGCGAGCAAGCAAATGACCTTCTTACACTGTGGGGTGTCAGGGCGCAGTTTTCACGCTCCGACGCCGGTGGTAGCCGTGGAGGCTGTAAAGCCTCCTCTGAGCTGAAAGGCTCAATGGTTGATTCGTCGACGTGCCGGTGCAATGTTGCTATCCCATCGGCGCTTGTCAAGGCGTCTCCTAAGTGGGCGTCTATATCGAAGGACTCTGGCTCCAGCGGGAAGGATGGAGTACTAGGACAAATGGCCACGTCCGTGCGGCCAGATTGAGCAATGTAATTGCCCGACACAGTCTCGTCGCTGTGACCGATCGGCCGTTCCCCGCATGACGAGTAGCACATAGCTGTCGCAGGAGGCGAGTAACGCTCGTGAGAGCAACTTGACTGGGTCTGACCGGACGGTAATCTGTGTGCGTGGTGTAGGCAGACTTTTATATTTGCCCCCGGAGCGCCATTGGGATGCTGCTTCGCCAACGTCGTGGGCCTTCTCCCTCTTCGTGAGGGCACGTAGGTGCAAAAACTCGCGGTGCGCTGAGATGGGGATCAGACATGGGGCTTGAAAGAGTTTTGAGCGGACAACTCGCGGCCATACTTGACACTTGTCACACGGTTCTCGACCATTACCTGAAGCACAGTACAAGAAATACATTAGTCGTCCGACACCACAGGTGCAGGCTCGCTCGACCTACATTTCACTTTCTTTGCGCGACAGCGACAACAGGTGTTGGACAACTTCGAGGGCTCAATCGGGTGAACCATTGTAGGAACGAATCTAGTGCTTGAGCGAATTTATCTCGATGCGACTGACATTCGAGGCACATGGGGAAGTTTACCAGGGAAACGAAGATGTGCAGACTCGCTGTCTCAAGACGACACACCACCATCCCGGCCCCCACGCACTCCCCGCTGCGCTGTGGAGAGATACACTTGGCTTCCGGCTACTTAAGCGGGTCCGGATTTCCCCAGCTCGCCAGGTGAGGTATGCACAGGGTTCCTGTGAGAACACCGAGGAGGTCGTGCAAGAATAGCCAAGACCCCGACACCTATACGAGGTACACGTAAGGAAATGATCTCGTTCTCGGGGTCTTGGGATTTTGTCCACAGCCCGGACCTAATCCTTAGCATAATACCCAGATATACAATCTAGGCTACTGTTAGAGACCGCGGCCAACGAAACGAGAAAAGGAGTAGTGCACAACTAAATGGCTACCTAGCTATCGATAAGGAAATTCGAAGTATATAGTATGTAACTATTACGAACCGACCTTGTACGCGGCCACCGACTAATTGGGAGTAGTAACGCTAGACGACATACCTCGGGATACCAGTCTCCCCTCTTGCGCACAACTGAGCCTCGCCCGAGAAGGGGGATCTGGTAGCATTTATTGAAGGGTATCTCAAAGCGCAGAACGGTTCCACACCTACAAAACCCTTACCGGCATCAATGGCTCAACAACACGCCGTCAAGCTGATCCTGTTCCTCAAAAGAAAGCCAGGAATCAGCCCCGTCGAATTCGAAGACTACTACGAAAAGAACCATGTTCCCCTCATTGAACAAATGTTCCCGTCCTGCATTCAACGGTACACACGCAACTACATTCAGCAGGAGAGCGCGATTGAAGGACGTGCAGGAGGGTCAGACGAGGCATTCTCCGACGTGGTGACCGAAGTGTGGTTTGAGACCGAGGCCGATTTTGCAGATTTCCAGCGCCGCCTCGGAGACCCTGCGATTCAGGGGCCTCTGTTTGCCGATGAGGCAAATTTCATCGATCGTTCAACCATAAAATTCTACCTCGTCAGGGAAAAGTCTTCGCATTATAAGGGATGAAACGGTCACACACGGGCTGTCCACAGAAGCTCTGGCTCCTCATGTGCTCTAGCGTACCCAGTTACACAATCAGAAAATACAGCATGGATGGGAAACACTTCTTCTCATAGTCTCGAGCTCGAATCTATATACTGCCGAGTAACGACAAACGTTTCTCACTGCGGACTTTCAAGGTAAAGTCGAATGGTTTTGGCCCCGTGTTATTCCCCGGTTTGTAGTCATACCATGGAACTGGAATGACATTGCCTGACGAGTCGAGCTTCTTGTCGACACTGCATGCCCACATGAGCATTGTCACCTCGATGAAAAGTGAGCGCTCGGCAGCCAAGAGACCAGGACAGATGCGTCGCCCAAAGCCAAACGCCGCGTACCGCTTCAGATTGGGGAACTGGGTGAGTGGCTCTTGATACGTCGGAAACTCGGGTCTCAGCCATCGGTCAGGGTTGTAGGATTCCGGGTCCGGATAAACTGATTCATCTTTGAACATGGCGTACTGATTCGCATGGATGATTGCGCCTTTGGGGATGTAGTACCCCTTGTAGCTGTCTGCCGCCGTTGACAAGTGAGGAATGCCTGTGTAAATTCGGTCAGTTTTCTGCCTTGCTCGCATAAGATTTCTTGGAGAAGAGATTTACCTCCCGGAACAACAGGCCTCCACCTCAAGGTCTCCTTGATGGCAGCTCGCACAGTAGGAAGGTAGGGCCAGTCTTCGAAAGAAGGCAGCCGATCTCCGACCACCTCGTCGATCTCGTGTTGAACCTTGGCTTGCCAATCAGGATAGTGCCACATGGCGAGGCAGTAGGACTGCATTGATGAAGACGTCGTGCCAGAACCGCCCTCGAAGAGGGTCCCCATGCAGTATATCGCCTCGAACTCTGAAAGTTCGTAGGTATCCTGCTTCTCTAGAAAGGCGTCGACCATTGCCTGAGGTCCATCCTTGGGTCGTCCACCTGCTTGACGATAACGCCTCAAGGCTTCGCGGAAGAGACTTAGGAAGTAAGTATACTCATAATTATGGAGTACCCTTGCTTCTGCCTTGAAGGGAGCAAGACACTCTGGGAGATACTTCAACTGAGGGATAAAATCGACTAAATATGTCCCTGGCGCGCCAGTCCGCTCGAGTGTTCGCACGATATTGGTGATCGTCTTCACATGATCGGCTTCCTCAACCGAGGGAACTTTCTTGTCGTAGAGTATCCGCAGCATGACCAGTGATGAGTACCTTTCGAAGAGGTATTCATAGCTGCTGCAGTCCTTAATGAGGTCCCTGACGAGACGCTTGGCTTCGTTGACTTGCACGCCATCCCAAACTTCAAGGGAAGTACTGGATAACCGCGCTGCTGCCAGTTTACGCGCGTTTCGCCAGTACTTATTGAGAGGGCTGGTGCCGAGATTACCATTGCCTGAGACGAGCTCATGAAGCATCACAATTGGCGGGCGGTCCGAGTATTGGGCGCCTTTGAGAGCGAGAAGGTCGTTTGCGATTTCAACATCCGAGATGACAATATGAGTGGCGCCCAGGATATTGACTTGGAAAATCGGCCCATATATGTCTGACCACTCTTTGAACTTGTGGTAAGAGAACGTCTTGGGGAACTCCAGGACACTGCCGAGGAATGGATAGCCCTTGGGCCCTGGGAGTGGTTTCAAACCATCCGGAACTGCAGGCGTGGTCGTGGTCGATAGCCGGTAAAGTGCCCAGATGATGGTGCCCACCACCACAACAGACAGAAGTTGAACCGCAAACATGGTGAAATGGATTGTCGTGGCACTCGAACGCGGCAGAAAAAGCAGTACTTGAGGATAAATATGATGGTGAACCTCGAACTGAGATCACGACCCGTTCTGGCAAGGATGATTCGCTCACGAGATGCTCATCCTCACCTGACTTTTTGCGAATCCGGTAGGACCATGGCCTAGAGGCCGGGGACCCAACAGCATCAAAGGAGGTCTGCAACTGAGATTTCGTGACCGCTGAATAGGTGCCGCACAGGGGTGTACAGCTGACTGACCGATCGCCCCAACATAGACCCAGGAGTTCGGCTACCTCCCACACATGGCCGAGTCGTTACCCAATTCGATGGGTCCCCAATCATAACATTCTCCAATCGCCTCTTCCAAGGACAATGATGGGTACTTTTAGACGCGACAAATGTACGGTCCATCCTCTTACATGTCCGGCGAGAGAGGATAGGGTTGCCGTCAGGAAATCAGACTTTCTCCCGTACTCGGTCAACAGTGAAGGCCAGCGTTGCCAGCTAACAGTCCTGACCTACACTTTAGATCCACGCTAGTTAATTGGTGAAGTTACTAGCCAGTAGCCCATCATCTACGTCTCTTGTAGGCTAAAATATAAATGGACTAACCTATACTATAATCGGTATAGTGGCCGATAAATGAAAACCACATTCGCTAAACTTCCCATGCCTAGTTGGCAACGCTGGGGTCGGCATCTTGGCCTTCAGTGATGAATGATGGGCCAAGATCCCGACTCTCCGCCCCCTCGTGCAGCGAACCCCGACCACACGAGCCAAGGTACGTGGGCGAGCCCTGCGAGCCCAGTGGCAGCCCCGAGCATCTGGTGAACTTCATGGAGCGACGGTGGAAAAACAGTGTCAAGGGGACGCTTCAGATGATCTCGCTGTAGATGTTACTCTCAAGAACTCTGGAGATACTTGTTTTGCCCTAAAGGATTTCATGCCCTTGTGCAATATTCTATTCTGATACGTCGTAGGGCCGAAGCGTCCTGAGTCGCCGCTTCCTCCGCTCAATGGTCAGGCCTTTGCCTGCATACAAGTGATCTTTGATGTTTAGAAGGAACTGGGGCCTTCGTGCTCAACAAACTTGTTGTCGTTGATCTGCACGTAGTCCACGCCGACATTGAACACGATCTTGTCAATGTCGACGAATTTGGCCTCATCCGGACGGATCTTCACCATGTATTCTGGGTCGCTGAAGAAATCGGACATATCCTCATATCTGCAAACCACTCATTTAGTCCCACGGCAAGCTGATGAACTTGAGCATTTAAGCCACTTACTTGTTCACCAGGAATTCGGCAATGCCGTCGTAAGGCGATGGCATGCCAATGGCCGCGCCCTTGGCTTTGTATTCGGGCGTCATATGGTACTGAATGGGTCAGCCCAAGGCGCACAGAGAGAGCTCTATTGTGCGCATGTGAGAGGTGGGCAGACATACCTGTGTGTACTTGAGAATGCCATACTTGATGAGCATTGGCGCGACGAGGGGCCCATGGCCATTTGCCCAATAACTATGAAATTCTTCGTCGGTGATGCCGGTTCGCTTCGTGACAAGCACAGATATGCGACAGACCTTTTGCAGCGACATTTTCTAGGAGTGTTGCCAGCGCTGGGACGTGGGTTTCTTGTTTGTTGAAGTTGGCCTTTTCGAAACAGGTTCTAACACAGTGTTACCGGGCATATGTTTATCTAGGTGCACCGCTTAGCCAGGTTGGATATCTCAAGAGGCCATGAGGTGCCAATCCCGCTAAGTATTGCCCGAGGTTCGCTGAAGGCATACGCCGCCCCGGATCTCCACCATCCCTTGCGTCGGTGTCTCGGCGCGAGTCGAACGGCATGTTCGTGGGGAGTAGGCTGGAGGCTCTGCGGTCGGGGACTGAACTGCGCTTCCGGCGGTGTGAAGAGAAGCTTCCAATATTTGCGTGGGGGGTCACTGAAAGAGAGTCTGCTTGGTTCAATATCAGGCTGGAATTGCATGAAGGAATACAAAACTATCATAGCCTCATCCTGTCTTGCCGGCGCGTCCAGTTCGGCCACTCTTCCACCCACAGCTAGGTCATGCTGGGACTTGCAGCTCCTTGATGGCATCGAATATTTCATGAGAGTCGAGGAAGATCTCGTAAAGATCGGATTGCCACTTCCCGCCAGCCGACTGAACCAGGCTCATATACGTTACAAATCCTGCGTCAACCCTCCGTCCATTTCTCAGTTTGTACCAGATGAGTCCTTTGACGAGGAATTGCTTTGATTTCGAATCGGCCTGTCCGGTCAGAGCGTAGAACTGTCGCAGCATGTGGCCACAGTCAATGACCGGCCCATTTTCTGGATCGATCAAGCCTCTCCTCAGATCGCCGAGAGCTTCGCGAGAGTTTGTCGTGATGTGGGAAAAGGTGAATTTCGCGTCGAGGGCAAAGAAGTCGAGCACTTCCTCACTGCTTGCTGTGGGATTGTCCCATTCGCGAAAGAAGGCCGGAATGGTCTCGTTGAACGGCGCTGGGACGGAGGACTGATTGTCGAACTCGTAGTGCTTTGGGAAAGCCATATTTCGTAGAGATTCTGCAAAATCCCATCTGACCAGCTACCTGTGGGACTATATGGCCTACCACAAACGGCTTTTGTCTTCTTTGCTTTGTTGGTGTGTCTACCCAACACTTCATCCGACGGGGTCTTGGCCTCCTGACCGTAGCTTCGGTATCTTCTTTAGACGAAGTATGCTTTGCATTTGAGGGGGTTTCTAGCCGAACATCTGGGTTTTCAAGGGAGTCTTGACTATTTACCCATGTGAGGCCGTTGAATCACACTTCCAAACAACAACGGTTGTCTTCAATCGCTGTCCGCGACCACCACGATCTTCAACAATGGCGACATCCACTCAGAAAGTTGTCATAGTTACCGGTGCGATTGTTAGTCCAACTACCTGTTCCCCAAAGTTGAAAAAGGATGAAGGGGAGAACCTTTGAAATCTTCTCTGACCTCGCAATAGTCTGGCATCGGGGCGGTATTGACAACATACCTCCTACAAGACGGATGGACTGTTGTCGGCGTCGACGTGGCCGACTCTTGTGATCCAAAGATCGCCGAAGAGTTTGGAAACTCCTTTTCGTATCGCAAATGCGACGTTTCCAACTACGATGCGCTGGCAGAGACCTTTGCACAGGTGTTTGCACGGTTCGGACAGATCAATGCGTTCTGCTCCAATGCTGGTATAATCGATAGAAGCTCGGTCTACATCTACAGCCACCGTGGAAAAGCCAGGTACGTCGGAGGTCATTACCGAAGCCTTTCTCCTACGGGAGCACCACGACTAACAATATATATATTTGACTGGATCGAAGCATTCCCCCCAAGCCTGACCTCGCCTGCACAGCGGTTTGCTACCATGCTTTGATCTATGGAACCCAGCTTTCAATCCACTTCATGCGACAGAACCCGACTCCGGGAGGTTTCATCGTCTGCACTTCAAGCATGGTGGGATATCATCCAATTGCTACTTTCCCCGAATATTGTGGAGCCAAGTCTGCCGTGAGTCAGTCCTGCCCTGGTCAGCGCCTTGCTCACCTCTTCAACAGATGAACGCATTTGTGATTTCAACGGCCCCTGTCCTCAAGCTGGTTTGTTCAACCTCAGTCACCCACGTTAGGGTGTGTCGAGCAGGGCTGTCTCTAACATCTATAGCAGAAGGAAAACATAACGATTAACGCCGTGCTGCCGGGGATCGTACCAAGCCAGTTCATTTCTCAAGAGATGCGTGACACCTTTGGTGCCGATGGGTCAGTCTCTGTCCTTTCTTGCTCCTTCGATGCTGATGGGGAGCGTATAGGTTGACCCCAAAGGAGACCATTGCTGCGGCGTACATGAAGTGTCTGCACGATCGCAGTCTGAATGGAGAACTGATCGAGTGTTCGAGGGACAAGCATTTTGTGCTCCCACGACCGGGCTACGCAGATGGAGAGACTTCCAAGCGCACCTGCACTGTATATGACCCATATTTCGTACAAGTTCACGGGGAATCTTCCCAGCTTGAGGATATAGTCAGACGACGTAACTGAGATTGTGCAGCTGCGTGGGCTAGTCCGTTACTGTGGTTTTGGATTCCTCAGTCTAGCATAGTTCCCTGCTTCAGGAACCACATGCTCCGATCCGTCACTTGAATGCTCTGTCCGTCTCCCTCCTACTTAGGGACAAACACCGAAGCGTCTAGGAGCCACTTGATATATGAATCGGCCATGTTCATCTGGATTTGTCGAGTCTAGAACCTGGCCGCTACAGAGACCGAGCACGAGAACTCTAAAAACGTTGGGGTTTGGCACGTTCAGTCACTGATAACCGGAGACGAAATTGGAGCCGGCCTCTTGGCCAGATTCGCAAGAGTTTGCAAATACCAGTACCATGGCTCGCATGGCTCGAGGTTCTCCGGCCTCTTGGCTTCCCCGTGGGGACCTCTCGCCTTGCCCCTGCATTATGCAAGGGTGCTTCCCAAATCAGAGAACGCCCTTGTGGATGTATATATTCGACCTGGAAACATGTACCCAGCGGCGGTATCGAATACTCTTCAGTCATATCAAACTTTTGACGCCCCTGATCCTGAAGAGGTTTCTCCCCTCTGCCCAACGACGCCGAAGCTGCCCAAGCATTCATGGAAGCACCAGCAAACCCTCGCTCTGTGGAGAAAATGGGCCATGTCGAAGAAAATGAGACCGTTGTGACAGATGTTCCAGCAGGCAAGGCCATTGACCCTCAAGATATCACCCACCAGGGCGCTGAGGCCGTTTTACTCTACGTCGATAACACAGATGGCGATCCAGCAGCCAATGGCTTGAAGTTGGCCGCCGACGGACACGTAAGTCTTGATAACATCTCAGTCACGGGCGTGCAAGCTTATGACTTCTGGTACGCAGACGGTTCTGATACCTCAGCCCAGCGACGACCCCAATGATCCGCTCAATTGGTCATGGTTCAAGAAGCACGCCTTCCTCGTGGCTGCATCCATCTGCACCTTCTCCAGTGACTTTGGTATCACTGTTGGTGTCCCTGCTGTCGTCAGACAGGCCGAGTACTGGGGCGTTACTCCCGACAAAATGAACTATACGAACAGTTTGTGTGTGGCTTTGAGGTAAGGCTTCTCCATATCGCATGTCAGACACCCCTATAACCAGTCTTCTAGCGGTATTGGCGGCCTCCTGGTGATCCCGCCGTGCTACTTCTGGGGTCGAGCGCCCGTTCTCTTTTGGACCACCTTGATTGCGACCCTCCTGACACTCGGTTTGGCGCTCACCGATGACTTCGCCACCTTCTACGCTCTGCGTGGAATCCAGGGTCTCTTTATCACCACCTGTAACGTGACGGTCTTGTGCTACATCAAGGACATGTTCTTCTTCCACGAGCACGCCAGGAAGATCGGCATTTGGATCTCGCTCTATTTCATTTCCCCTTATATCGGACCGATGTGCGGAAGCTTTGTCGTGGCCTACACTGACGGTTGGCGCAATCCATTCTGGCTCTCTTTCGGGTTCAACGTCTTCTGCTGCGTCCTCATCCTCGCTTTTACGGACGAGTCATGGTACCGACGTGATATTCCGCGGGAGGAGCAGCCACCACGGGGCAGTCGTCTTTCTCGATTACTTGGGTGGTGGCAGATCAAGCACCACAAAGGTTACTTCATTGATGTGCTGCCGGCATGCAGCAGAATGACGCTTGTTATTGTGAAACCCATCGTTCTGCCCATCATTGTCTACTAGTAAGTTCTCGAGGTCACCCATTCTGCAGTCCTGACTGACATGTTTGTACAGCGGCCTGACATTCATGTGGGCTGTCGGCATCAACATCTGCTCTGCTGTTCTTTTGGCAACCCCTCCGGAGCAAGGAGGCTACGGATTCAACACTGACGCAGTCGGTTTCATCTATTTGTACGTCGTGCTCCTTCCTCGCTTTGAAAAGGCAATCAGACCACTAACCTGTCAAACAGCGCGCCTTCCATTGGCATCACAGTGGGTGAATTGGCCGGTCACTGGTGCAACGATTGGCTTGCGGCCAGATATACCCACAAGCACCGCGGTATCTTCAAGCCGGAAGGTCGTCTGCCAATGAACTTCGTCGCAGGGTTATTTATGATTCCAGGGCTTGTGCTTGTTGGCCAGACGCTACAGTATCGACTACACTGGACTGGAATTGCCTTCGGCTGGGGCATCTATATCTTTGGGGCCATGCTGGCCAGCGTGGCCATCACTGCGTACGCGTTGGACTGTTATCCCAACGGCTCCGGCGAGGTCTCGGCTTGGCTGAATCTCTTCAGAACCGGCTGTGGATTTGCCGTCCCCTACTTCCAGCTTCCTTGGGGCGCCAAAGTCGGGTACGGCGCTGCTTTCGGGACACAGGCCGCCGTCATCATCCTTGCTTGCCTCATCCTCCTGCCACTGGTCTTCTTCGGCGAGAGACTCAGAATCAAGGGTGGACCTCTCCGATTCCCAGGCTCTTCCTGATGAGCGCAACTACTCAAGGTCCTGGTGGATGACTCTTGTAACGTCGATGAATTTCTAGAGTGGGAGCCCTACGGCTATTGTGGAAGCTACTCTAAAGTACATACAATAGACCATTGATCCTCTGGAGCTCAGCTAGCAATAAGGAGAAAGTTTAACCAGAAGTGAATTAATATTCCCCAGCTAGTAGGACCGACTAAGAGCCGTGTAAACCCTACTACCTGGCCTGTTGAGACCTATCAGCCAATTAAACGAGAGGGCGTGTTCAAAAGCGGCGTTGCTAGTTCTACCCCTTGAAGGCTGTCGTCTTGACTAGAAAGACCTTGATCGTCTCGGTCTTCCCTACGGGTCACCTATAAGTCCAGGTTGAAACGACTTCTTCTGCGCGATAAAGAGAGTGAGGGATGTGTCAATAAAGAACCTCTTGCACCGCTTTCACCATCTGTCTCTCTCTCACACACACACCCAGGCTCCTCCTGCGCATATTGAGAGATATTGAGGGAGATATTTGAATAGAGAGGACGTATAATTCGGACACATTGATATTATCGTTTGCGGCGAGCTATTCCTGCAATCTGTCTACCTCTGTACTCGGTACATACATCAGTTTCCCAAAAATCCCCAGCGCAAAAGGGTCGAATGTCGATCTATTCAAGTTTTGTCCCTGCACCCACCCATCCCCCAAACTATGCCGCGTGCAAAGCTCCAGTCACCCGGTCAGTCACCTCCCAACGCACCCGTGAGTCTTCTGCCCTTCTTCTTTGCCACCGACCATTTCACACTCCTTAGTAGAAGCCCAGCAAGGCCGTGTCGTACCTCACCAGCTGGCCCTGGGCGGGGTGCGCGCCGCCATAGGTGAACGGACCACCGTTCGTGGCGACGTACAACGATCCCCTCTTCAAGTCCTCGGCGCTCGTGCCGAACTTGGCAGACGTCAAGCCGACAGGACCGGTCGTGTTTCCCGCCACGGCCACGATGTCGGGTTGGAATGTGCCGGCGCCCACGCCCGAGAGATAGGCGATGTGTCCGTACTCGCACGCAAACCAGAGACCGCCGGCGAAATCGAGCGTGAAGTCGTCGGGGAAGATGTTGGCGAACTCTTGGTCAGCGAGAACTTCTGCGGGGCCGGTGGCGTGGCCGGTGGTGGAGTTGACGGGGATGCGGTTGAAGGTGACCGAGTTGGAGTTGTCGTAGTAGAGATAGCCGTTGGAGAAGCTGACGGCGTTGATGCCCAGGGCCAGTCCGCCCGAGAGGGTCGCGTTTGGCGCCATGGACGGGTCGTTGACCGCAATGGCAGTGTGTCCCGTGAAGACGTTGACGGACCAGACGAGGCCTTTGGCCGAGTCAGCGACCAAGAGGATGCCGGTGTTGGGGTTCAGCACGGTCAGCCCGTTCGGGAGACCCGCGTTGGGTAGATCGGCGACCTTTGCGACCTTGACGCCCTTGGCCAGTTGCTTCGAAAGCTTTCCGTGACCAGCCGTGCGGGCACCGGCGGTGTGGCCGTTCAGGTCGATCTTGAAGATGCCATAGCTCCCGGGGGTGGACGTGAAGGTTTTCACCGAGAAGTTGCCGACAACGGCGTAGAAGATGTCGTGGCCCAGCTCCACGACACCGAGAACCCCGGTGTGTGCAGGGAACTGGGCAAGGAGGAGTGGCGGGAAGGCGTTTGTAGATGATAGGAGGTATACTTCTGGTGCTGAAAGAAGAGTGGCCACAAAGTTGCCGTCCTCGGAACGGGGAACGAGGTTCTCGACCCAAGTGCCGTTGGGGAAGGTTGATATAACGTGCGGTGCGAGGATCGGCTCTGAGAAAGTAATCGTCGAGACCGAAGCCGCTTGTCTGGACTCCAACGTGTTGGCTTGAGGCAATGCTGATGCGGTGGCGACCGATGTGAGCGTGAGCAAAAGCCCGGCAATGGTAGAGTAAATCATCTTTTCTTTTTGACGTTAATACTTCTCTTTGATGTGATGAGCGAGTGAATATGAGAAGTGCGGATGAGGGAGTGACAGATGAAGACCTGCTTTGGCAGCCTTATATATATATGTCCCGGCCCATACTGAACGCTGCCACATTATACACGCCCGAGAATGCAGTTGCCCAGTATCGGCAGCTTCCCAGCCGCGGCGCAAACGAGATTGGACTGCATCCGTAATCGTAGCCGTGAAAGGCATCATAAAGCGTACATCGCCCAGGTCTGGGTTAGAGGCGCTCTGATAATCACTTCAACTCCTCCAGAAATGACCGACCATGTGGAAGGATGCTGCGAGGTTGGCGAGAAATGTGACAGCTGAAGCGTCCGCAATCTTCCAGATGTAGGGCCGAAGCATTAGGCTCGCCTTATGCATCCGAACTGGTCGTAGTATAGGATATTAGCCACTTGGCCGCTTGTGGACAAGTGATTTGCACGCCGCGGAATGTCACCATTCTGGGGATAATGTCAGAACCTGAAGACCGCTGTGTAAGCGAATCTCCACCAGGCTGGCACCCAGCTGTGGCTTTAGCTGGAAAGCTGTGTCACGCACTAAGCTTCATTCGTTCGGGTGAGATTACGATATAGAGCGGTGATGCCCCTCGTTGTATTTAGTTAGGCAACCAAGACCTCTTGCGCCGCTACAATCACAAAACAGTAAGTATGGCGCGAGAGTCTTTGATTTCGCTCTTTCATACGAGCAGACTATGCGAACTTGACAGGAGAGAGCAAGCAAAAATAGAAGTTGGGTCAAGGGAAATCAAATTGCGTTTACGACTCGGCTCAGCAGCGCAGTCGACATCATACTTACCTCCCTGGCACGTGGGTTCCAGCAGGCGATTCACTTCAAGTCGTGCGACTTACCAGAGCCACAGAAAAATTATCCAGCCCAAAATATACGGAATGGTAAACAGTGGGACCCATATGAAGATCAAAATCGGGTCGAACAGCAAGCTCAATGCCGCGAATGGGACAACAATCTCTGCGAATCGAGGGATGACGCGCGTGTGAGCCTCGATGGCCACCAGGGTCAGAATGATTCTCCACAACATTCGCATGAAAGAGATGTTTGAACACATGGTTTTGTCTTTGTTCGAGGCGATGTTCGAAAGTTCGGAGTTGTGTTGTTGATGCAAGTCGTCTGGAATGGCGGGAACATGGGCTTATTTACCTCTGCGGTCGCCCTGCTCTCGATATCTGTCTTGTTCTCGAACAAGGAGACTCTCCGACTTCCCTCGAAATTTCTACTGTTGCGAGACAAAGCCGTGCAAGCGCTGGCTTTGTGGTCGCGTCTGACTTTGTGCCTCAGCATTGTCACGCGTCAGAGGCAAGTTTGTATGTTCCAGTTGTTCTTTGTTGTCGTTGAGGGGCGACACTGATGTTCCTCAAGATACAGAGTGCTTTCGGAGTCGATCGTTGGGAAAAGTAAGGGTGCATCTGATGCCATGTGGCTGTTCTCCTTCAGCTTTCCTATGTGTTTTGCCAGCACACTCGACGAGTGACCGTGGATTTGCATGTAAATACCTGCCATCAGTCTTCGCGGTTCTCTTTCATCAATTTGAACATTTTCGAATCGCAGAGTCGCTTGTGGGTTTGTGAATGTGAAGCGTGCAGCGGTTCAGGTTGGGGAAGAACGGTAGACGATGGTACTGAGCTGCAGAAGATCTGTATGTATCAGTGAAATTGAAGAACAAGATAAGGTGCTTCGGGACAAACGGATGTCATCGGCGAATGGTCACCAAAGTCAGAAGAGGGAAGGCCAAATGCTTGGGCAGGCCCCGGGAGCGCTCGGTAAGCGCAGCTGATCATATCTATCATGAGTGGGTATCTGCTATTGATGCCTCATCCATGACACCATGAGACTATGAGTTAGGTCTTTCATTCTATTGTATCTGAGGTCGCAGAAGTGTATCTTTCCCTCTGATATACTTTCCCAATTTGGTATAGTTATATTATAGATCTAATCACCTGGTCTATAAACACAGCCAGTTGCCTTAGTATAGTGTCCCGGATCTGATCAAGGACCGCCTCCAGTGCAGTATTTTCATGACTGCCACCATACCCGTGCGAATTTTTGCCCTCAATCTTCGCCTGATCCCTTGTACCCTTGCTCTACCACGCGCAATACCTTGATCTCATGCTCTGCGGCTTGCAAAGTCTCAGTCTTCTTCGGAAGAGCAGTGGTTATCACACGCTTCTCGGATTTCTTGACGTCAATCTTAGCAAACCCCTGCACTTTTCTTCTGGTAGCTCCTATTTATCTGCACGCAATATCACTGATAAGCTACAAGCTCTAGGTGTGCCAAGGCGGGAGACACATTTCATACCACGTATTGTGCAACAGGGAGGTATGGGAGGGTATACAGGAACTGACTCGGCCATATTTCCAAGATAAATCCATCGAATCTTGTACAGGAAGGAGGTTGTCGAGCCAAGAGGAGAGTAAATTTGACGATGACCGGCCGGCCACTAGCCAATGGCAATGCAAAGGAATACAACCTTTTGCTTTTCATTCATATGCCGATCTCCGTCTGCTATTCACATATTCCAGAGAACCCTCTCGCGCGTGGTCTCTTTCCAACCTCGGTCTGTTGGACACGAAAGAATGTCCCTGAATGGTTGTGATTCCCTACCTGGAGAGCGTGCAGATCTCGGTTTGCAACAGCACCGAGTGCTAAACACCAAGGTAGTGTCCTAGGACACCCGCCACTGACACATCACGCACGATATATCTGTCTCGGTCAGAAAGATGCCGGGCACTGACGCATTCGGAGTCCTCGCCAGCCTCGCGTTCTCCAATCACCCTCAAGGACCCCGTATCTCCGTAGAAGGGTACGTGTCAGTAGCCTGGTATGCTACGGCATCGCCTTGGTGTGTAGCACTTTGTACCTTTGTAAATCGAGAACTGCATCCTCTGGGGAGCAAATCACACCGATGCACAGACCTTCCTTCGCGTCCACCAGAATCTGCATGTGCTTTTCACAATGTAGTCCCATGGCGTCGCTGTTCAAATGCCGCGAAGCAGCAAAGACCAGCTTTTCAAGGGACGACGTCCATGGATTGAATAGACCGACAATGCAAGAGAGATTCTTTGGTGCAACGCATCAGCATCGCTCGGTCCTAGAAACTTACAACGAGATCCTCCCATGTAACCAAATATGTTGAAATCTAATATTTTGTGTTTGTTTGAGGGACCCGACATTCTCGGGAATTTTCAATAACGGCGTGGGTGTAGGGTTACAAGAACACAAGACACCTAGTCAGCATGACTCCGGATGCAGGTAATGATTGTCGGATACCGAGCTCGGGCCTTTCATATGGTTTGCGGCCTGCGAAAGTGGTCCACAGAGTTCGTATCCTGACGTGCCTGACCAGATGTGAAATCCACAAAAGCACAACTGTTTTGTTAAGGCCACAATTATTGACAAGACGGCAAGCAGCCAGGCACAAATGCATATCTCCACCTCAATCGACGTTACATTCTTCATGGCTAATGGTGGGCTGACAGGAGGCAGGATCCACCGTCTCCCCTTTGACAATGCCTTTGGCTGTCGGGCCAAACGGCCAAACGTGATGACTTATCCCAGATGAATGAAAATCAGATGATGCTCCAGCAAAAAGTTGCTGCTCGCGTGGTGCCAATGTTGTTGCAATGACTCGGGAGGGTAGCATCCAGAGGCTTTGTTGTCGTACAAGTACCACTACTGTGTACTTATAACTAGATATGGTGATTACTGGGTACAAGCAGGCAGGCTTAATGACGCATTACTGACGCCGACAAATGTGTGACAAGCATCAGAAAAATTATGGTTCGATGTCTTGTACACTAAGCCATACTGAAACAGGCTAAGCAGCTTGGGATCAGGCCTTCAAGGCAGGCCTGGGATGGGGGGGTTTCACAACTCTGCAACGCTGGCCTAATGGCTCAAAAGAAGAAGGAGGCGTTGGTTCAAGGGCCAGCCAGTGGCTGACTTCATCTCGGCAATTGCAAATTGACCATTCGCCGAGAATGGGCTTTTGATAATCACCTGATTCTGGCTAAGCTCTGGAGGAAATGGCCGAGGCGGCGCGGTGGATGCTTGTTTACGCCGCCGACATCATTTTCCCTCAGATTTTGGTGGCTCTAATGATCCAAATGCGCCACCGCGCCCTCCGGGATCCGACAAATCTAAGCATTTTCTCACGAGGCTTCATTGCAGCCTCCTGTCGATCTTGGTGTATCCAACCTACACAACACCTCGTATACCTCAAACCCTGGCAACTTGCGTTGTGGAAATTCTCAGTCTCTGTCAACATGCGAGCAACTGCCTAATTTGTGGGTTTCTGCGCGTGCTGATTCCTCGCGCGTGGCCGTAGTCAAGTCCCCTCCTTGCTTGCTCAGCGTGATCAGCTTACATGGCCAGTTGGTGTTTGCCGAGGCCTTGTCCCCCACGGGGCAAACACGAGATTCGATTACATGGAGTCCAGGCATTGTTTGAAACCGCCTCCGATCTGTGGTGGCATCTCGTCATCGGTCAAGTGATCAACTGCTAGCTGCTCGCAAAAAAGCAAGAGTTGCATAACCTACGTCCGGGCCTTCCGGGAGACTCTTGGCTGTCGCCGTGTCTAGTGCCTCGATGGTGTCGGAGAGCGGAATTCCGAAGAGCCTCGTAGGAGCCTGGCATAAGGAAATACTGGCCCTCTGAGGAGGTTCCTGGTGGTCGTGCCTAACAATGAAAGAGGAGGTGGGCCTGTGCTTACAGAACCCTTCCAGAAATCGCTCATCATGATACACCATTGGATATGCTACTGGTGCCACCACACATCTCCATACTCGATGCTCAGGCCATCCGCACTCCTCCGCTTTTTTTCAAAGTAACCTTGGAAGACAACCCATCATCCACGTGCCGCGATGGGAATTTTACTGGGGGGATCCTCGCGGTGTCTATAAGAAAGGCCGCAATGTCCACCCCTCTTTGGCAGATTTCCCATACTTTCCACACAGAAAGTGTTGATTAAACAAGCATAAGCGAAACATGGGATACCTCAAGTTTCGAAGGCCCGAGCTGACTCGCGAGTCGCTCGGCCTCACCAACTGGGTACAGTACGACAAGTACAATCCAAATGCTGCCGGCGCTACCGAGGCCAGGAAGTCGTTGGCTGGCCTGGACTATTCACCTCTGCGACGAGTAACATGGGCATCACTGTGGATGGGCATCCTCATCTCGATGGGTGGATTCATCTTTGGCTATGATACCGGTCAGATTTCTGGTTTCCTTGCCATGCCAGACTTCCTGGAGAGATTCGGTCTGCGTCACAGCGATGGGACATACTATTTCAGCAACGTGCGTTCGGGTCTGATTGTCGCAATGGTAAGTTGACTACCCCTTGGCCCCGTGGACGAGGCTGGGACTAAGTGATATAGCTGTCGATCGGTACATTGATTGGAGCACTTGTTGCTGCTCCCATTGCCGACTTCATTGGCAGAAGGCTGAGCGTGACCGTCTGGTGCGCCGTCTTTTGCGTGGGTAACATTGTCATGATCTCCTCAGACCATCACTGGTACCAGATTATGATGGGCCGATGGGTTGCTGGTCTCGGTGTCGGCGCATTGTCATTGCTCGTGCCAATGTATATGGGTAAGCGATTTTGTCAAGATGCCCGTCGAGTCCAATCACTGATCCTTCATAAGCTGAAACCGCCCCTCGATACATCCGTGGCGCCCTGATCAGTACATACCAGCTCTTTGTATGTCATACCTTGAACCCCATTGGTCTCTTCCAACTAACCATATAGATCACGTTCGGTATCTTCTTGGCTGCCTGCATCAACTTTGGCACCTACGAGCACCAAAGAGGAAACTCTGGATCATGGCGAATCCCCATGGGAATCGCTTTCGTCTGGGCGTTCATTCTCGGTGGTGGCATCCTTGCCTTCTCTGACACCCCGCGATATCTGTACCGCAAAGGACATAAAGAAGAAGCGAAGAGAATCATGGAAAAAGTATATGGCGCCCCACCAAACCACTACAGCGTCCACGTCGAGCTGGAAGAAATCGAGGCCAAGCTCCGCGCAGAAGCGAAGCAGGACGGCCCCATCACTGAATGGTTCAACATGTTCCGCGCTCCCAAGATGGCGTATCGTGTCGTGCTCGGCATGACGCTGCAGATGTTCCAACAGTTGACCGGTGCCAACTACTTCTTCTACTATGGCACGGTGATATTGTGAGTTCCCACATCCTCCCGGTTCCGCCTTGTGTTTCTGGGAAAGATTCCTATCATGAAATCTGTCGAATTTTATCTAACAGTCTCTACCAGCCAAGCAACGGGTATCAACAATAGCTTTGTGGTAAGTGCCAAGCCGTTATTCAGCTTCCACCCCCTTTCCGGGCTTTTCCGCCCTACCCCCTCTTCCCACCCCTCGCTACCACCAGCACACTCGGCTGTTGTTGTGAACTCAGTACATGTCAGCAGAGGCTAACACTCGCTTGCAGACCCAAAGTAAGCCCTTCCCGGACCTGCTCCAGCATTGCCGAAATATCCCGGACCCCCAGATTTCCCGGTTTGTAAGTATACAGGTGCTGACGGGATATCAGTGATTTTGAACGGCATCAACTTCGGAACCACTTTCTACGGCCTGTACGTCGTCGAGCACTATGGCCGTCGCAAGTCCCTCATGTGGGGATCGGCCTGGATGTTCCTGATGTTCCTGATTTTCGCCAATGTCGGCCACTTCTCTCTCGACAAGAGTGACCCCCAAAAGACCGAATCTAGCGGCACCGCCATGATTGTGATGGCCTCGTTCTTCATTTTTGGCTTTGCTGTGACCTGGGGACCTATCATCTGGACAATTGTGAGTCTTTTCTGATGCTTCTGATGTTCTTTCGGCCAGAAAAAAAATGGTCTGGTGGTAGAGAAAACGCGTGCGGCGGAAGAGGATACTTCCCGGCACATTCACACCACCACCACCACCACTTTTTCTGGCGTTTTAGATGGCATAGACATGTTCTAACATTCTCACAGTGCGGCGAAATGTACCCTTCGAGATACAGGGCCAAGAGCATGGCACTGTCGACCGCCTCCAACTGGCTGTGGAACTTCCTCATCGCGTTCTTCACACCATTCATCACCGGAGACATCGACTTCCTCTACGGCTACGTCTTTGCAGGCTGCAACCTCGTCGCTATCCCCCTGGTCTACTTCTTTGTCGTTGAAGGTCAAGGCCGGACCCTGGAGGAGATCGATACCATGTACATCCTCGGTGTGAAGCCGTGGAAGAGCAGCGAGTGGATCGCTCCACCTCCAGAGGAGATGGCCAGGATCAGACGCGAGGCCGGAACGGGCGATCACGTCGAAGACGCGGAAATCACCCCTGCTGCCGACCGCAACAGCGACGAGTCAAATGCTGAGAAGGAGGCCGAAAAAGAGGCTGAGCATCAAGCATAACTCACCACGTCTCAGCCACTCAAAAACTCCAGCCGGCTTCAACCGCGAAGCAGAGACAAGAGAACAGCAAAAAGAGAAAGAGTAGAAACAGAAACAAGACCAGAGCGTGTTTGTATTGGTATGTTGTGAATGAACTAATGAGTTGGGCAGATGGGGGAGAGGACCATTCCAGGGGATCAGGTGGGAGAAGCAACGGAAAAGTTGGATACCCCGCAGCATTGCACTGGAAGAGGGGGGAAAACCCAGTGCATGCTTGCTCTTTGACGCACTCGTTACGATTGTCATGTTGTACGCACAAGTCCTAATGCCTCCATACCGGGCAGTTATGACTGTCTCGTACATTTTAATATATACGTCTTGATTTTGACAGCACCGCCGAGCTCACTATTTCTCACGGAGTGTTTCTCAAACGGGAGAAGGCCTTTGGGTATTAAATGACGGAGGTCTCCGGATTTTGAAGAGCTCTGCGTCGAAAAAGAGCATTCTGTACACCGACGAGAGTTGCCCGTTGTTGCTCGCACTATCGAAAGCCAAGACCCCACCACTCTCACAGGCAAAGCCCGGCAACCGTATACTGGGCATCAGCAATTAGCAGACTCGTGAACAGCTTCTGGGTTCAGAAAGGGTAAATAAAGCCCGCACGCCCCGGGGAAGTATGCATTTTGTAAGTCCAGACCTCGGATGCCCTCTCGCATAAAATGGGACCGTGAATGCTTATCTCATTGGTTCCATGGAAACTTCACTACACTACTTTCGGAACAAGTGCTCTAATATGATTGGTCGTCCTGGTAATGCTCCCAATCAGGTCATTCCCTCTTCTGCGTGTGCACTATCCCCCACTCGCACAGTGCAGTGCCTTTTTTCGTTAGATCCATGGTGACAGCTCTGAGCAGCTTCGTGAGCTGAGCGTTCGGAGATGGATTTTGCTGCTACACCGCACGTCGCAGAATGTATCGCTTCGGAGTATCCTTTCCCGCTCTTATCCGTACTTACAAAATGTCACTGATCCAAAGCTATCCAGACCGCTGAATATGAGTTGGCACTTGCTGACATATCCCATCACCTCCACGAAGTATAAAGAAAGCTTCCACAACAACTTCATTATGGGTCTCGGGGGAACTGATGTACGCATTTCGAGATGAGTAGCGTGGACCGGGTTCGTGGACGCGACATCCCGCACAACAGCTGTGTGTGGACTCGAAACAGTACAGAGATGTCAAGCAACGGACTTGTACATAGGTGGACAGGATAGGGAAAGTTGGCGTCTTAAGGGGAATTTGTTGATTCTATTTTAGGCGATTCGGGAAACCTGCCAAAATCAGAGCGCAGGCAGAAAGCCTCGTCGGGGCAAACAAGACCTTAGGATTCACCCAAGCATATCAATCCATCCATGTACTTTTTCATATTCTCTTGTGAAGCCTTGTTGGTGAACGGGAATCGCTGACTCAGTCCATGTTTCCATCCTACACTCCCTCGAAGCTCTAGGCGTGGCCCAGACCTAGCAGAATCCACCCATAATCTGGCACAAGCGACCCCAGAAACGCCACCTCCTTTTTTTGCCCAGCGCCACGCCGTTCATCCTTTTCCCCTTTCGTTTCGTGTCGGGACTTCGGAGAAGATATGCGCAAAGACAATTAAAAACCCTCGAACCCCAACGCTTCATTCTGCGTACTCCATTCATACTGATGATACTACGCGCCACGGCTGATTCCTTATTTCCTGGTACCAAACACGTTGGCCCGGTGTTCGCGCAGGGGGAGGATCATGTCTCAGAAGACGGTGCAGAAGCTAAAGGGGGATTGGCCTCATACGCGTGATTTTTGTGGGCAATTTGTGGAGAAGGATGATCCGCCAAGCGAAACACAGACAGTTGTACAGGAGTGATTTGATGGATTGACAGAGGCTCTGATGGACCTGGTGGACTGATGGGGTGATGGACTGGCCCCCATCCCTGAAAAAAATCAAAAATAGTGTCGATGTTGAGCGACTCCCCCGTGTTTGGCGTTTGCGGGTGGTTTTTTGGGCTGTAAAGCGCCTCGTTGACGTTTCTGTTTCCTTTTCCCTTCTTGTTACTCCATACTCTCCCTCACCCCGTAATTCACCTTACAGCGGGATCTTGTTCACTGTGAACGCGTCACTGCTTGAGGTGTCCCCTCTTGCATTCTCTTTGCTTGATGTAGCTACCCACTCCGCCGGCAAATCATGAGTTCGTCGAGGACTGGCTCCTCGCGAACCAGTTCGGATGGATCTGAGGTTGAACTCCTGAACGAAAAGCACGACTTCGACCACGATGCGCAGAACCCCAACGCGAGCCCTTGGATGGGCATCGGTCCTTCTCGTCAAATCCCTAAAGTCACCTTGTGCTTGTCGGTCAAATTCCTTGCCAAACTCGCTGGTCAACTCTTCAACCTCTTGATCCCGAGTTTTCTCCAGCGCCGCATCCATAATGATCAGGCGAAACCAGACAAAGTTGCTCCAACGGCGTTTCTCGATGGCATGCGCGGACTTGCTGCCTTTGTCGTCTTCATCTGTCACCTCACATATGGCACCTTTGACATCGCTCACGCATGGGGCGCCGTTACGGACCCCGAACACCAGCCAATGTCTGTCTTCCGGGAATATCTGCGCTTACCTATTGTCCGCCTTCTCTATTCTGGCCCTCCCATGGTGGCCATCTTTTTCGTCATTTCGGGCTACGCGCTCAGCTACAAGCCCTTGAAACAGATGCGGTCTCAGCAGCAAGATCAGTTGATGACGACCATGACATCGTCCATCTTTCGACGCGGGTTGCGGTTGTTTCTTCCCTGCTTCGCGTCGACATTCCTCGTCATCTGTCTCGCCCAGCTCAATCTGTACAAACTCACCGAAGGGTTTTCGAACCAAATGCGCATGATCCGGGAGAGCCACTGCTATACTCAGCCTACCCCGTGGCTGCAGTTCACCGATTACTTGGTGCAGCTCCTCATCTTTGTGGATGTCTTCAACTGGAACATATTCGCTGGGTCGATCGAGCTTGACCGGCATCTCTGGACCATTCCTGTGGAGTTCCGATGCAGCATGGCCTTATTTCTGACACAAATGATGGTGGCTAGGATGTCCTCGCGACTGAGGCTGTCGACGCTTGCCGCGCTGCTTGCGTGGGGCACCTCTTGGGACCGATGGGATATGTGTCCATTTTGGGCGGGAATGGTGATTGCCGAGCTGGATATCATTTGGTCGGTTCCCAAGGTGTCTGAGCTGCCGTCAGTCACAAACAGCCCACCGCCTGCGAAAATGAGATTATCATCCAAGATTCTATATTGGTCGACCTTCTGTGTTTCGCTTTTCCTGCTCTCCTTTCCGGACATCGACGCTCACGTCACCCCAGGGTACCTCACCCTGACCAACCTCATCCCCGTCAACTTTACGCAAAAGCATCGATTCTGGCCAAACATCGGCGCAGTCATGATTGTCTGGTCGTCATCCCGCCTGGGGTTTTGGCGTAACAAGGCTTTTTGCTGGAGTCCGATTCAGTATCTCGGAAAGATCAGCTTTCCCCTCTATCTCATGCACGGTCCTGTCATCCACACGCTGGGCTACATGGTACGGAAACATTCATCCCTCCCTGCCCCAAAATGCAACGGACTTTGTTCCTCAATGTGGAATGATTCCTGAACTAATCTTTTGATAAACTCCACCAGATTCTCCCTCGAACCCCGGAAGTCGAAACCCCGGAAATAATAAGACAGTTCGAATTCGAGTTCCTCAAGTCTTCGATCGTCATTGTCTTGGCCGTCATTTGGGCTGCGGACGTCTTCCTCCGAGCCGTCGACACGCCCTGCGTCAACTTTGCCAGGAAACTGGAGAAAGTCTTCTTTACAGGCTGATCTGTCTCCCCTGCTACGACTCGATTCGCCTCTCTCTGTCGGTTTGTCATTCAGCGATACGCGCGGACAAAGGGGGTTAGCCGCAGTCTCCATGATCAAAACTCGAATCCCCTAAAATGGAGCATTGTCGCACAGTCCGATGGTGACTAGAATCTTCACGCTCGACCGAGACACACTCGATTCGTTACTGTGATTCTAGCGACTCCGAAATCCCGCCCGGAAGTCCCAGGGTCTCGCACTCAGATTTGCGGCAATGCGCACGCATCAGCCATTTGTCGAGAGCAGCTCCTGCAGTGCGCATCGTGCTCAATCGCAGTTTGGAAGAGGACCATTTCACGGGCATCGCCCTTTCCTTGGTCCACAGGAGCCCAACAGAAGTATTCTTGTTCTGAAGGACACATCTTCGCAGGCTTCGACAAGTCAGAGTTGTCCTGAAGAAGGATGATTGGGAGCGGCGAGGTGGAGGACTGAGAAAACAAGTGTTCGGGGCAAAAGATATGTGACCAGACGGTTTTGGATAGATTGGGCCTCGTCACAGAATGCCAACTCGACATCACCTCGATTCCGCCTTTACTGGATATCAAGTGGCACATACTGCAGACGAGTCAAGAATGGTTGTGTCCAACGACCCGTGTTTGCGATGAACAGTATCATGAAAACATCAACATGCGTCAAGAATTGGATCTGGACGCTTTCTACTTGCGCCCAAGAGGGCATTCAGAAGATAGACAGAAGCAACCGACGATGGATAGGGTACTCTTGCCTTCAAGGGCTGATATAGCTGACCAGAGCAACTTTCGATATCCCTCCTCCACCTCCGCGACTACCTTGCCTCATCCAGGACTTGGTTGTTCACTGTTTACTTCTGTCGCATTCACTTTGCACAAAATTCGATCCGTCTTGTATCGTGGGACGGATCGAGGTACCCCCATGCTTTCGTTTTCGTTCTGTGTGAGAGGGAGCGCGCGCCATGGGTTCACTTCTCCATCCACGAGGTATACAATGCCATATTGAGAAGCCATCGATCAGATTTCTACGCACAGAATTAATGATACGGCGGGCTCTTCTGTCATCACTCGCGTCTTAGTCATCGACGTTGTCCTCATAGAATTGTCTCCGGCCTGGTCATACTAGGGTTTTCAAGCACTGATTTTCTCAAAGCTAGATTATCCTTCAACACAGTGACTTTTCTTTCACACCACATGGGTTGATTCAGGCCTGTGTAAATTGTCCGAGTGTTCCAGTACACGAGCTAGCCTCTCCTCTCTCTCCCCTCCCCTCGGGGACCCACCTCATATACACGAGAAGAACCCGTCTCTGCCAGACGAATACTTACCTCCTCTGGCCGACAAACTTCACGGCTCGGGCGGCAAGAGATGAGCCTTTGGTGTCAATCTACAGATCAAATTCGACTGCTTGACCACGGTGGTGGTGTGCGTGGTCCATCCCATCTCGGGGTCTGCCAGGGCGACGCGGAAGTTGCGTATCAGATGGAGGAATACCTTGTTCATCTCCATGAGGGCGACGTTTTTGCCAATGCACGTTCTCGACCCTGAGCCGAACTGGAGTTTGGGTTGGGCGTTAGTACAAGCAAACAGACCCATATTCGGATGTCGCTTTCCAGTGGAAGGGCGAGGAGGGGAAAAAACACACCGTGAACCAGAACTTTTCCATCCGTTTTCTCTGCTCGGCCGATGCTTCCAACCACCTCTCCGGACGGAAATCCTCTGCATCAGCGCCAAAAATGTCTTTGTCATAGTGAATCACCCACGCGCTGATTCCCACGATCGTCCCGCCAGGCAAATGGATCCGACCTCCGTCCAAGTCCAACCCAGCGGCGGGCACGCGACGTTCCAGGATGATGCCGGTGGGCGGGAAGCAACGCATGACTTCCTTGAGAAAGGCTTGGAAGTAAGGCAACCGTTGGGTTTCGGCAAAGGTGGCGATCCGACTCAGCTCGCCGTTCGATTCGGCGGTTTGGACCTCCTTCTCTAGTTTTTCATAAACGGCAGGGTTCCGGCATAGGTAATATACTAGAGCACGGAGGGCAATGGCTGTCGTATCGCTTCCGGCGAAACTGGCACATCTCACTTTTAGACCCGAGTCTCGATCAGGCGAGGAAAGGGGGCAAGGAAGGATCAAGAGACTCTCAAGTCTGACTTACACGTTCGTCGTTGTATGAGACAGAATGTGCTCCAGGGGCATCTTCGAGGGGTCTTGATGTTGAACCGCGAAGAGCCTCCCCATCAGGTCTTGTCTCTTGACATCAGCCGTCTCACGCTCAGTGATTCGCTTGAGAGTGAAGTCCGTGATGTAGTCGGAACGTTTTGAATTAGGCATTATATACTTGAGCAGCGGGTTGCCTCGCAGGAGCTCATGGAGACCAGGGATATGGCCGACCAGTGAGTTGTACACCATAGAGTCATGGATGTTGTCCAGTATGTGCTCGATATCGGACCCTTGCTCCATGAATCCAAAGGGCTTGGAGAAGGTGATTTCTCCAATGACATCGAAGGCGTAGTACTGGAGCCAATTGGCCATGTCGACAGGCTGCTTGCCATGCCTGGATACCTCGTCCAGCCGACGTACGAGGATGTCGTTGCACTTGTCGATGTAGTCTTCGAGGTCGGTGAGGGCCGAGTTTGAATATGCGTGCGCGACGGGCCGCTTCAAGGCCGCATGCTCAGCCTCGTTGCTGATGGCGAAGAGGTTTGGCAGCCGCTGACCCTTGTACACCATCATGTTTGTTCGAAGGAGCTCAGTCTGTCCCAAGTTTCAATGAACGGAAACACCCCCAGCGCCTCAATCAGTCGATCATACCTTGTTATATCCTTTGTTGATGCCATATATGACAGCGAGGGCGTTCGGATCTCCGATCGACACGGTGTTGGGTCCAATGCGAACATATGGGCCATGACGGTTGTGCAATTCTCGAATCACCTTTTCATAGTTGCCTACCCACGACACGCGAGATTTCCAGAACCCCGTGAAACTCGCCCAGAACGGCCCTGGCACTTGTCGCAGACCTCGGCGGTAGCGAGTAGCCAAGAGATTGACGACCAGAACGAGGACGGCTCCAACACATGGGTACAAGACCGGATGCTGCAACACATGCTGGAGCAAATACATGTTTGGTTTTTCACCTTGATCAAGTCCTTTGCAAGATGCACTGATGGTGGCCCGGGTTCCTTTTCTTCAGAGGGTATTTTGTCGCCAAATCCACCTGTTCCGGACAAAGATAGCGGAATAGTCTGTGCTCGGAATTCCAATGCCTACATTTCACTGATTGTTAGGAAGAATGAGGAGGAAAAAAGGGATATTTTTCACTGTCGCTGCTGATTGATCTGGTCTTGTGTTTACGTTCATGCCGCAACATACCACAAGGCAATGCTGATAATCGTACACATGGTAAATGTAAGGATGTAGAATTGGTGAACCTGCAAGGAGCACGACAAACCTTCCCGGTACCTGTACATCTCCACCAGAATCTACTTGCCAGCCTGCTTACTATTTCCCTTGACACTCTCCGGACTAGCTGATAATAGGTACCGGCAAACCCCCACGCCACGCCTCGCTACCAGCCTTCTGGGTAAGCACGTGGTAGGACAGGAACCAACCTAGTCGACGCACCTAGGCAACTAGCGGTCTCGGAATTAGAGCGGGACCCAAAGGCTCGGAATAAGGATGGCTTTGGTTTGTGCGGAAATCCCTGTTATCCCCACAACTCTCGGCCGGGGATGGAGTCTGGAGTACTCCGTATGGAGAGAGGCTTCGTCTCCGAAGTCCAAATAAGTCGATTCCGCGCCCTCTCCCGAGAGTGACCAACCCCGGTTTTTGAGCTTCACATAAGGACTGCTCAGGGGACCTGCTTGACGAACAGACGAGGTGACTGCTCCCGCATCAACCCTCTCCCCCCATCGTCATTATTTGTTCAAGTCTTGTCGCTCCTTCACCTCTACGAATCTTCACACAGCAAGGATGGAGAAGCCTCCTACGAGCCCGGCAATCCAGGTCGAGGCTGCAGAATCCCAAGAACTACCTGCTGTGCCTGTATCCGAAAGACCAATGACCAATGACTCCGTCACACCCAAGACCTGGCTCGTGGTGTTTGTAAGGACCCAAATCCTTTCCTGTCTTATCACCATTCACTGTTCTCCCGGTCGAGATTCTCGGTCATGCCGAAGGTGGTAACGGCCTGGCAGGACAGGACACAGTTGAACGGGAGAAACGGATGGATGACACGAAGACCAGACGCTGACGAGATCTTCTCTCTCCTCGTATAGGCTCTATCCGCCTCCTCGGGTCTTTCCATATGGCTGCTTCCCACCGTGGGAACGGTTTCAGCCCAGGTTTCTGCCAAACTGCATGCCGACGCAGGCCAGAGCACCTGGTTCCTCTCGGCCTTCTCCGTGGCCGCCATCGTTGCTTCGATGATTTGCGGCGCCAACAGTGATCTCTTCGGTCGGCGCTACTTCATCTTGTTCGGTAACTTGTGCATGGTGATCAGTGGTGTCCTCACGGGCGCTGCGAAGTCTTCCAACCACTTCATCGCCGGCATGACCATCGGCGGATTCGGCACTGGTTGTTGTCAGATGGCCTGTTTCGCTCTCCCGGAGCTCCTGCCCCTCAAATGGCGGCCACTGGGTGTCGTTCTCTCCGAAGCGTTTGCATACTTTTGCCTGGTCGTTGGGCCGGTCGCCGGTAAATTTGCAGTGAACAACGGCGGGGAGAACGGTGAGGGCTGGAGGTGGCTGTTCTATCCCAATGCCATCGCCAATGCGGTCACCGGCCTGATGCTCGCTTTCCTCTACTTTCCGCCCGCTCATCCGCGTGGTATTCCGTGGCACCATGCCCTTCGCCAACTCGACTACGTCGGGATCGCCCTGTTCATCTTGTCCATCACCCTCATTATGGTCGGCATTGTCGACACCTCATATATCGCCGACAAGTCGGACCCCAAGATCGTGGGCACCCTCGTCAGCGGATTTGTCTTGCTGGTGATATTTGGCTGCTGGGAGACGTGGGCGCCCCTCAAGCAACCTCTCACTCCATCACGTATCTTCAGCCGAAATCGGGGCCGCGCATTCACCGCGCCATTCATCTGTGGTATCTCAAGCGGGATGTTCTACCTGGGGCCCAATATCTTATGGGGTACCATGGTCAGCGTCTTCTTCACCAAACCCACGGATCCGATTTCCCACGGCATGAAGCTGGCTATGGTCCAAGGTCTGGGCATCACCGTCGGCTCCATGGGCCTGGCGATATTAGGGGGCCGCATCAAGCATTGGAAATGGCAGATGATAATAGCCTTCACCCTGATGACCCTGTTCGGTGGGCTCTTTGCCCTAGGCCGACCAGGCCGTGTGGCGCCTCTCATCTTCATTTGTGCCTGTTCGGGCATCACCTACTCCTGGGCAGCATATCTCGGCATTGCATATATCCAATTCGGCGCCGAGCAGGTCGATCTCGGTATTGCTGGAGGTCTTGCGTAAGCTTTCAATTCTTCCCATCCCGATCACAGTTCCCCCTCTGTTGCGTCTCCGACTAACGATATACTTCTACTCAGTGCCGTGACTCGTTACGCCGGAGCCCTGATCGCCACCACGGTTTTCTCCACCATCTTGAACAACACCCTTTCCAGTGAGGCTGTCAAGCGGGTCATCCCCGCTGCTGAAGCCGCTGGAGCCTCGCAAGCTGTAGCACAGCAAGTCCTGAGCGCCCTGCCTCTCGGTGCCGATGCCTTGGCCAAGATCCAGGGCGCCACGACCGCCATTATTGCAGCAGCCGGGAGCGCATTCACAGAGAGCTACGTGAAAGCCACTCAGACGGTTGCGTTGACCTCGATCGCTTTTGGTGGTGTAGGAATGATCTCGGCTCTGTTCTTGGAGGACATTACGGCCAAGATGACGCCCAAGATTGAGGTGTTCCTCGAGAACGACGTCAACGCCGAGAAGAACAAGTTCCACTAGGGGCATCTCCGTCTGTGGTCTGGGGAGAGGATATGTGGGCAGTCCTCCCTCGGCTCTCCTTGAGAGCTGGTGCGGCATATGCCTGGTTGATCGGGGGTGCGTTTATTCTTGTCTCCTGGTAGGGGTATATGAAAGAATTTCGTGGCTGTATCGAAAACATGTAACTACACACAGACACACTTTCCCCATGTATAATCACATTATTCTCTACATGCAAGTCCAGAAATCCTTGGTCCATCTTCCTTCCACCGTGACGCCCACCACCCCGTCCAACGATGTATCATGCTCGTGACAATACGGAACATCGATATTTGTTTTTTTTTAACTCGATACCAATTCCGAATTCCGTCAATGCGAACTGCCTCTGTTCCCTGTAAAGTGAAACACGCTCACCAATCGAGATGCCCTGGGTTCCGTTCACCGAAGAATACTCGGACCTCCCGGATTGATGCTTCGCCCGGTTCAGTTTTCCTTTTTCCGCGTCTCCGCCTCCGCCTCCTCCTCCTCGGTCTCATAGCCGACTCCGACACCCGTCATCAGCCATATGCTTCGCGGCCAAGAACCCATAGACCATGCCGCGGAGATTCGTGACGCCGCTCTGCAACATCATGCCCAAGTCTGTCCGCGCCGCCGAGTTCCCCGCGGCATAGAGGCCCGGGATGGGTCGGCCGTCCTGCCTGACGACCTGGGCGTGCTGGTTGATTTCGAGCCCCGCGGCGCCGACGCCCAAAAACGCCTGGATGAGTTTCGTGGCGTAAAAGGGGGCCTGTTCGATGGGACCCAAGGGTGAAGTTCCTAGAGGGGCAAAGGCCAGGCTGGACGTCACCCAGGGTCTTTCGCCGCGGTGGAAGTCATCGTCGCGCCCCTGTCTGCACATGTCGTTGTAACGGTCCACGGTACTCTTGAGGCCGAGAGGGTTGATCCCCGCCTTTGTCGCCAGCTCGTCAAGCGTGTCGGCCACGTGGCATTGCTCTTTAGGCGGGCCAGGTTGCTGTCTTCGCATTGGTGAGCTCCAGTAGTTGTCATCCATAATCAGCCACGTCGGCCAGTGAGGGTGGACATGTCGCACGGGGTCGAGAACGTGTAAACTCGCATGTAGTTCTGGGTAGAAGGTTTCGTCGGCGAATCGTTTGCCTGCGCGGTTCACCACGATCTCATGCGGTCCTACGGGCCAGTACATGGCGAGGATCTCGTTGTCCCACGTTGGCGACGAGACATCCTCATCACGCCGGATTCCCGTGCGCACTGCTCTCTGAACGATACTTCGTGAAGGTGGCAGCGTCGCGATCGCGGCACCCGCGTCCGCCCCCATGGCGAGATGGTCCCCGTCAATACCGGGGAAGACGAGCGTGCCGTAAGGTTCGAACCGGCCTTCGTATCGATGGACAAGGGCAGAGTTGTGATCGTAGCCACCGACGGCCAGGAGGACACCGCGTGTCGCCCGGATGCGTTGTTCTCGGCCACCACCATCGAGACCTTTGACCACCACACCTGTGACTCGTGGACTCGTCCCCGCTTCCGCTTCGCCTCGGATCAGTCGAGTGACAGGACTATTCGTCCGACACGTCGCTCCAGCCTCCAGGGCCGCTTGCAAGAAATACCCGGCCAGGGCTTCCCCGGTGTACACACAGTCCTGTCGCTGTGCCTCGGGTCGACCGGTGATCCCAGCCATCTCGGGGCTCGACCAGGCCTTGTGGCGGAGTTTGTGCCTATAACCGTCACCCAAGCGACGCAAATCAAACGGCTCGGCGTCGAAGTACCGCCCATCTTGCTTCGCGAAGGGCCGAAGGTCCGGGTAGTAGTAGTCCGGCAGATTGGGGATCATGCGAAACTTAACGCCCTTTTCCTCCAAGAAATCAACCGCCTCGTTCGCGGTGTTGAAGAGGTTTCTCGTCATGCGGTCGTTGGCCCACCCGTCTGCGAGGGCCTCGATGTATCGGATCCCATCTTCCACAGAGTCCTCGATCCCGCGGGCCAGTTGATACTTGTTGGCCGGAGACCATATCTGCCCTCCTGAGAGGGCCGTCACGCCGCCAAACTGCGACGTCTTTTCCACCACCAGCGTCTTCAAGCCTTTGCTCGCGGCCGTAATAGCCCCCGAGAGGCCGCCGATGCCTGACCCTACACAGATGATGTCGTATTCTTCGTCCCATCTGCCGTCGACGTCGGCGCTGCTCGAGTGCGACGTCATGTTGAAGTGGCCACAAAAAATAAAAAATGACGTCGTCTATTGCACCTTGGGCTTTCTTAATCTAACAAGGATCGACATCGATAGACTCTGGGATATGTGTATTAATCAATGTGCAGCTTGTTCTTATGTATGTGTATGTACGTGTCTGATCGACGTGTGAACCCTTTTGGCCGTATGCGGAATTCAGACCCCCCATCGGAAAAAGGGGGAGCGGTGGGTGGTTGAGGTGGTGGTATTGGTACAAATGTGGTTTCCGCTCCTGCAGCCACCATAACTCCGCGTATGATGAGCTTTTCCCGGTGGTTCCAGGACGTGTTGAAAGCCCCCCAAAAATGCCCAAGAGAGCTTTGCAGACGGCTTTTTTTTTCATTGCTTCTATCATGATGTTGATGATAACTGGTCCAAAATCTCTACGGGAACTTCCACCCATTTGTCCCTGATAAAGTCTGCGAAGCCTTTGCCCAGATTGTCCAAGGCGACGGTGCTGCTCGAACCACGATCCAGAATGCCATAAACCACAAAATGCACCGAGTGGATGCCCGGGAACTCCATTCTCTCGACGAAATATCTGTCCCGCCAGTCGTCGCCGATCAATTCTCGTAAACGAGCTTGAGACATGAAGCCCTGGAACCACGGCCAGATCTTGGACGTCTTGGGGAAAATGCCAAAGTTGATGTTGGCACCCTTGTCGCCGGATCGGCCGAGGGCCACGTCGCCTAAACGGACAACTTTGGTCTCGGTTCTCGAGGGGACAAACGTTGGTTCCGTGTCGAAGTTTATTCTCTTCTCGACGGCTTCGTACCGTGGTGGGTGGCCCGCCGGGAGAGTCTGGCCAATCGAGCCGTCGGGTTTTAAGATATGGGCAAACTCCTTTAGAGAATTCTGTGGATACAATGCTGGGTAGTATGCGATGTAGCGTATTGGAGCTGCGGTACGGAAATCTAGCGCGTAGTGAAGACCTGTATCACCATCAAGAATTAGTTCTTTAGGGGCTTCTCCAACTCATGCGCACTGGGGACGTGGCGTGGAAGCACATTGTGGACAGACTAACCAGAGAAATGTTGCATGACGAATTCAGCCCACGCGGCTCGAAGGCACGCTACTGTGGCCTCATCGCTTGCCTGAGCGAATATGCGACAGTATGTGGTACTATTCAGTTGAGTGCGCGGGTTTGCTTCAGGTGTCCCGACGCTGCATAATCCCGCTGTCACTACCGGACCAACAAGTCGGGGAACAGGGTGATATAACTCACACTTGAAAGTCGATCACGTCAAAATCCTCCAGCTTGCCTTTCTGGTTGAGGACGTACTTGACCTGTTTCTCTAGCAATTTCCACTTGAGTGCCGTATTGTAGCCTGTGGCATTGAGCAGCAGTTGACACTGATACCCACCACGGTAGAAGATACCCAGTTTTGTCGTGGCCGGTGGTGGACTACCTCTGACGCCGGTGACACGGACGCGGTTTTTCCCATCCTGTTCTAGTTTCACATCTGTAAGGTCCGCCGAAACGTCGCTGTTGAGATAGATCGCGCCCTGCAGCTCGTACAATAGTTGACAACGAACGACGTCGACATTAATCACTCCTTTTCCCGTGTCATGCATAGTGGTCACGCAGCTGCCGTCTTTGGCGATCTCGGCGATTCCAAATGGGATGTCGACCAGTAAGTCCAGGTCAAAGGCGTCGAATCCCGAGAAGTTGCCACCCGTCACGTATCCGGAACACTCGATGAGGTGACCAGCAAGTAATGCCCCGGCCAACTGGTCATAGTCGGTCGCTTGCCAACCATGCCACCACCACGCCGCGGCGATGACTGGGGACGCATCGGCCACACGGCCGCAAATAATGATATCCGCGCCAACGTCGAGGGCCGCGAGGATGGCTCGAGCACCTAGGTAAGCGTTTGCAGCGACGAGCGGCTTACGGTTCAGGTCTCGATACGTCAGCGTCCGTTCATCGAGGCGGACTTCGGTGTTGTCGGAGTCAAGATGTGGTGGTAACTCTCCTGTCCGTTGAAGCTGATCCTTGATTTCGGGCAACACGTCATCACCAGACACGAACGCAACGTTGATTAGGTATCCTTTCTCACTAATCTGTAAGATGGTCACCATCAGCAGCAGTAAAATGGAGATGAGGCCGTCGGCGAAGTTGTCCCTACCAGCCGCTGGACCTTTTCCGCAAGACCACGGGGATTCAACCCTCCTCCATTGACGATGATCTTGATACTCTTCTCCGCGACGACGTCTAGACTCTGCTCGATGCCATCCCAGCATGTAGAGAACCAGCCATCGTGCTGCCCGGCGCGCATGGCCTCTGCATTTTCCGCCAGGCTCACCTCTGTATCGGTTCAGTACGAGCGAGTGAGACCGGTGCTGAACAGCTTTCGCGTACCCGCAAGGTAGTCTCCTGTGATGAAATCCACGTCCCCTTGTTCTGCCTGGCGTCGCATCTGATAGCCAGGGTCATCTTAAAGTTCGTCAAGTCAGAACACTCGCATATGTACGCAGAGAGAGTATCGGATTCGAGCTCGAGTAGGACGGGGACAGAGAAACTGACTTCTTCCACCAGAACAATTGGCGACCCTGACTGGCCGTGTGCCTCGGGCAGACCATCTCGAAGTCGATCCTGCCATTCTAAGCCACTCACTTACTCACTAGGTTTGAAAAAATTGGATCCACGATCTCAAAAGTTGCCCGTGGCGGAATTATCAGGCTCAGGTTGCGGATGTAGTATTGATAGGGACTCGATGGAGCAACTCCAGGACTAGTCGACTATATAATTACGAGCAGATGAGTTACTACCTAATCAAGGAATTACAGGAGGTAATCATACCGAGTACCTCGTACTAACGCCGATACCTCCGAGGGCCTGGCCTTGGCAAACTCTGTTAGTCACACAGCAAATACCCGATAGTCACGTTGCTGTATGTATTTTCCTTTTCCGTGTGTCAATTCCGTCCTATGATCAAATCAGACTACTCAGTACACACAGCTTTATGCCCGACAGCAAGGGGTTAGCGACACATCAAGACGACGGATGCTCGATGACTGATACGAGGATGCTATGTATGGCACAAGAACATCTCAAGATATCGCCAGAGTCTGCAGTCTCGTCGGCGGGGATCATCACGCAAACCAGCCAAGGCAATTTCTTGATGATGAAAGCATCATTTCTATAAGATTGTTCTTATCTTGCTAATGTGACTGTTTCCGTTGAGCCACATATAATTAATCTTGTGAACATCAGCAATGCCAGCCGCCATCTACCGTGTACACCGATCCTGTCACGAATGTGCTTTCCGGTCCCAGCAGCCATGTGAGTACCGCCGCCACTTCTTGCGGCTCGGCCACGCGTCCCATGGGACATGAAGGCGGCACGGCTATACCGTTCATCGAGTCTTGATACAGAGGCGTATTGATGGTGCCTGGAGCCACGGCGTTGACCCGAATCTGACGCTGCGCAACCTCCTTGGCTGCCGACCGCGTCAAGCCGATAATGCCATGCTTTGCCGCACAATACGGTGAGATCCCCGCGATGCCCTCCAGACCAGCCACGGAGGCAATCGAGACAATACTGCCTCCGTCGACAATAGCTCGCAACTGCGCTCGGAGACAAGCCATTGTGCCTTGTCCACGTATGTCATTCAGAGCTCGAATACCTCCGGGGTCACAGGGAGGAGGGGGAGGGGGAAGTTGTGAAGATAGTCATACCAGTGAGGTTCACGCCAATGGCAACATCCCAATGTTCATCATCGACCTCTGTCAGCGGCAGCCTATCGTTCGTACGGCCGGTCACGCCTGCGCAATTAGCGGCGCCGTCTAAACGTCCGAAGTGCTGAACCGTATGTGCGATCCAGTCGTCCACTTTCGCACGCTGGGTGACGTCCAGTTGCGTGTAAAGGAAGTCGGGGTACTGGGAGGAGAACTCGGCCGACAACTGAGCCAACGAGGTGGCATTCCAGTCGGCGATGCTGAGTTTGGCGCCTCTTGACGCCAGGATTCGGGCAGTCGCCTTGCCAATACCACTCGATCCACCGGTAATAGCGATTACTTTGCCATCCATTTCGTACGACAGCCAATGTTTTCGTATGCCTCTCGGATAAGGTTCAAACAAGATCAAGGCCGGACAAATTTATAAGAGTGCTCTCAGTGAATGGACTCTATTCCTTGTGGTCCGTCGGCTTGGATTGGTGCCTTGCACGCCGCGCCAGTGCTACTTCACCTTTATCTTGGGAGGTGCCCTCAATCCCGGGTAGGCAAGGAACTCACCAATTCCAATGACGATATTTCCGGTTAGTGGTAACCACCATATTCCGCCGGGTCACCACTTGTTACTCGCTACGCGGATGAACATTCCGTTGGTTCTGGGAGCTTACCTAAGTTTTGGTATCAAGGTACCAATGGCCGTCGTCTAGGGTCGTTTGACTGGCCTCTCCTACTTCTTGCGCCCAACTTGTTGCACAAACAGCGGATAAGCAAAATTATGAATAGGTCTGTCTATGCCGAGCCTCAGGGCGGTGCCTGGTTGTTTATATACAGACGGCAGCGGTCAGAGAAGATCTCTCGTGATTCCTGCCACACAGACCCCTCAACCAGCGCCTGTCAGATAGCCGCTTCATCAGCCGGCGTCTGTGAGGCCGTCATTGCGAGAGGTCCTCGGGTGAATCTTCAACACCAATAAAGAGCCTCGAGAATTTGGCATCCCGATTCGGGGTCTAGTGGATAGGTTTTCCTGCCCCGATATTTGCTTGAACGAACCATCCATTGCGTTCTTATTGACGTTGGATGTTTGTCCTCTGCATAATTCGTCAATTGCTCAAAACACAAGAGAAACCAAGGATGCCCTACAATTGGGCGTACATCAGTTCAAAAAATGGCCACTGCGTTAGAGGGGCTACCGACCGCACCAACGACGTGCAGGGGCATACTGGTCAGGAAGAACGTGTATCGTTTCGTCTGGTGGCAGTGTCGGCTGAGCTGTTCCAAATTCCACATTTCACCTATCCAGAAATTAGCAAATTGACACTGGCATTCGTTCCCTGTTCACATCATCATCGTCATCATCATCAGAATCATCATTGGCTGGTGTTCCTCCTTTGATATGAACCCTTGACTTCTCTGGACGTGGTGTTTCATATCGTCTATCATACAGACACAAAGTTGGTGTGGTCTGGACTCACCAATTGGCATCCCCCAGCCACTCAAAAGAATCTCGTGCAAGAACAAATCGTCAATCCCCGTGGACCGCTTCGGAATGGCTTCAAAGGCCGGGGCGTCCGAGGTACAGGCGCTGAATTGGGAATCCCAGAGCCATTTCGCCATGCTCCTCGACGTCTCGACCCCGACGTGGCGGATCGGGTGTTGATGACTCCAGCTGATTTTGTCTCCGGCGCTTAGGGCCTCGTACCCCGCGTGGAACCCTGTGCGGATGAGCAGAATGTCGCCCTTTTGGAAGGTCACCCCTTGTGACTCTGCCACAGACTTGAGTTCTTCGACCGTGATGGCGTGGTCGCCGAGTTTGTCGTACGTTTGACCTTGGGAGTCGGACCAGTGGAGGTAGTCTAGGAGGACGCCGCGGCCGACGATGCCCTGGGCACACCATGCTTGATGTCTCATGTCAGAAATACCCATGTCATGTCACGTATCCATCGACCAGCTCATGCAGGGTGAGGAGTATACGGAGTGAATAAAGGTGGTGATACCGTGCATTCCTAGATTCGCCGTCGCTTCAGGCCCCGACAACTGCGACACTTTGGCACCATTGTAAAAGAGCCCCAGGCTTTGATACCCGAAATGGCGGAATCCATCCCACTGGCTAGATATCTGTGACAGTTGGGTAGTCCATCAGCGAGGGGACGCGTCACTGTCAGTAGTGAAAAAGGTCTTAAATAACCCACCTGAGTGTTGAAGTCGAGCAAGTCGTCGTGCACAGCTCGAGGAGCCTTGTGGATGACGGTGTGTGTCAAGGGTTTCCTGTCGTGCGGAGGCCGGGCAAGATAGTCCACGGGGGCATCGAGACCTATGCGGACACCCGTTGTGATCTCTTTGGCCGCGGCCGTCACCACGTCTGGCGTCAATATGTTCAGTGTGCCCAACTGGTCGTCCGGCCCGTACAGGGACCAGGCGGAAAAGGGCGGGTCGCCTTTACGCAAAGGGAGATCTTCAAATGCAGGTCTCGTCATATTGTTATCACAAGTAGGAATATTATCTTGACTGGTGAACATGTAACTCAGTAGGTACATATTCTCGTATCAACGTGGTTGATCTCCATATGGGGCTCGGATGCCCTGAGGGGGGAAGCCCGGCCCCTTGGCAGTTCGGGTTCGCGTGTGCCGGAATTTCGTGTGTGGCTCTATAGAAACGGAATTGACCATATCCTCTCCACCATTACTCCGCCATTGGTGGTGCTTGCTCCAAGGTCCCTCCCCTACCTAGACACCTAATTGTGAGCGACAGTGGGTGATTCCATTTACACTTGGCGAACTTGAACAGGTCCTGTTCACAAGCAAAAAGCTTCACTTGCTTGCCCCAACCCATATACACCGTTTACTCACTCACAACCCCTGCAGGGTCACCTCATCTCACCATGTCCGATTTCACGGTGCCCAAAAAGGCCAAGGCCATCATATACTCCAACCCCGGCACGACGGCCACCGAGATCATCGACGTCGACGTGCCAGAGCCGCAAGACGGCGAAATCCTGGTCCGCATCACACATTCTGGTGTCTGCCACACAGACTACTCGCTGGCCACTCAGACACTGGGCCATGTCCGTCTACCCGAAGGCCAGGTTGGCGGCCACGAGGGCGTCGGCGTCGTGGTCAAGCTGGGGCCGGGGGTGACGGCACGACAACTGGGCGAACGCGTGGGCATCAAATGGATCGCCTCGTCCTGCCTGACCTGCGAGATGTGCCTATACGGCTACGAGAGCAAATGCACGCTCCGTAAAGTATCGGGTCTGGGCCACCCAGGCACCTTTCAGCAATACCTTGTCACGAACGCCCAATACGCCACGCCCATCCCAGATGGCGTCGACTCGGCCAAGGCTGCCCCTCTACTCTGCGGCGGCATCACGGTCTATGTCGCCCTACAGCGGGCCGAGCTGAGTCCAGGCCAATGGGTCGCCATCTCAGGAGGGGGTGGCGGCCTGGGTTCGCTGGCGACACAGTACGCGAAGACCATGGGCTTACATGTCCTGGCCATCGACCACCCTTCCAAGGCGGACTTTTGCCGCAAGATCGGCGCCGATGCCTTTCTCGACTTCACAAAATTCAGCGGTGAGGGCGCCGACAAGGCCCTGGCCGACGAGGCAAAACGTCTCACGGGTGGCGGCGCCCACGCCATCCTCGTGAGCAACTCCTCGTCCAAATCGTACGATCAGGCCCTGGACCTGGTTCGCTATGGTGGTACGCTCGTATGTGTGGGCTTGCCGGAGGGGTCCTCGCCGCCTATAGCGGGTGCTGTCCCTTCGAACATGATTATGAACCGGTTGACTATCAAAGGTGAGTAGTAAATCAACTAATTAGGCCCCTTCTTTCAGGGTTGCCCTCAACTTTCCGATCATCTCTCTCACAAAAGTGGAAAGGTGTAACTAACGTGACGGATGGAAGGCACCATGATCGGCAACCGCAAAGACGCAGTCGAATGCCTGAAACCACTCGCTCGAGGCCAGATCGATCCCCAGGTCACGGTTCGACCAATGAGCCACCTGACTCAGGTGAGTGTCTCTCTCTCCTTTTCCATTATTCTCTCTGCCTTGCTCCATAATCACCATTACGATCTCGTCGAGTATTCGTCTCTGACGACTCTACCCTTGAAGCCCATGAAAGCCAAAAAAACGCCGGGGTACATGATGCGAGTTACTATGTACGGACTGACCGACTGAGTAACTGACATTGGTGAATTTCAAATCTAGGTCTTTGACGAAATGCACGCAGGACGCATTCAAGGTCGTGTCGTGCTGGACATGACAAAGTTGGAGTAGAGTGATAGAATAGTAAATAAAGCATACGAGATACCTGGGTACCTTTTTTCTACAAAGCAGAATGAGTCCTAGTCTGAACCATCTTTGTACTGCCTACTTCCTATGTATATCCATTAACCGATCCCCACGCTTTCGTGCCGCTTTTTCCTTCACAACCCGACATAAACCGTCTTCAGCTCGGTCCAATCGTCCAGAGCGTGCTGACCGTTCTCTCTCCCCTCGCCGCTCTGCTTGATGCCTCCAAAAGGCATATCCAGCGTCATCATCGGACTGGTACAGTTGAGACCAACGGTGCCGGACTCCAACCCCCGCGCCATGCGCATGGCCCGCGACAGGTCGCGCGTGAAGGCACTCGCGTACAGACCGTACTCGGTGTCGTTGGCGAGGCGGAGCACCTCTTCCTCGGTCTGGAAACTGCGGACGCACGCCACGGGACCGAAAATCTCCTCCCGCATGACGGCACTGTGCTCGTCGGGTTCGAAGATGATGGTGGGCTGTATGTAGAACCCTCGATCGCCTTCGCGGTCCCCGCCTACGAGGATCTGATCACCCGCCTTGCGTGACCCGGCGATGTATGTCATGATGCTCTCGAATTGGCCCTTGTCTGCTTGGGGGCCTCGGACTGTGGTGGACGCCAACGGGTCGTTCCCTTCCGAGGGGTTTCCACCCTGTTTCCTCACGGCCGCGACGAGAAGTTGGCAGAACCGCTCGAGGATAGACGCGTGCACGTAGATTCGGGTACTCGCAATACACACCTGACCGGAGTTGTAAAGGATCGAAAAGGCGGCGGCGCTGGCGGCCCTGTCGAGGTCCGCGTCCTCGAAGATGATCAGGGGACTCTTGCCACCTAGTTCGAGCGTGACGTGCTTCAAATTCGATTCCAGCGCGGCTTTCTTAATGGCTCTCCCCGTCCTCGCGGACCCCGTAAAGGAAATCTTTCGAATCTCCATGTGTGAGGCTATCGCGGCGCCGCAGATCGGGCCCGTTCCACTCAGCACGTTAATCACCCCAGCGGGTATACCAGCTTCCCGGCATAATTTTGCGACTAGGAGGCTCGTCAGGGGTGCCTTTTCTGACGATTTAACCACGATAGTATTCCCTGCTAGCACCGCAGGGGCGACCTTGAAGAACAATTCCGTGACGGGGGCATTCCACGGGGTGATGGCTGCACACACGCCGTAAGGTTGCCGGAAGGTGAAATTGACAAAGTTGGGCGTCTGAAGCGACGATTCTCCCTTGACATCGGCCGCCTTGCCGGCCATGTATCTGATGAAGCGGGCCATGTTCGTGCCCTCGGCTGCCAGATCGTCAGTCAAAAGAGAAAAAGCAAGTACCTCATACACACGCTGTGTTCAAATGCGACATACTATATTTTCCCACCGGTTTGCCCATGCTCACGGCCTCTAGCTTCGCAAATTCACCATTGCTGCTCTCGACGAGATCGGCCAACTTGTAGAAATAGGCTGCACGTTGGAATCCACTGAGCGCCGACCATGCGGGAAATGCAGTCTTTGCGGCTCGCACGGCGGCGTCGACGTCTGCTGCGTCGGCTTCAGATATCGATGCCGTCACCTTTTCTGTAGCCGGATTGATCACGTCGAACTTCTTGCCACTCTGAGAAGGGACAAACTCGTTGTTGATGAACAACCGCGTCTCGATGTCGCTTGGGTAAGAAGCGCCATTTTGCAGGGAGACTGTCATGGTGCTGAGCCAGTTCCCTTTCGCTGGTTATTAAGAAATCCAACTGGGAAGTGATGGTCGACTGTTTACTGCAGCGTGTCAGGAGAGTTGATTCGGCATCGATATCATGTCTCTCTCGGGGCGAGCGGTCAGTCCTGTTTTACCAACGTACTTGTTCGTCTCAGATTGTGCAGACGGACAAGTAATTCCCGCGCCTGGAGAATTCGGCGCGGCCCAGTTAAGGTTGGGCAAAGAATGGGATAATAGTCTTGTTCCAAGCCTCACTCTTGATCCCGCTGTTTCTCGGAAATTCGGACGCTTTCGCCCATTCGTTGGCATGCGTCACGCGCAAACCAACGAGCCGGCTTCTACTGGCTATGACCACTATTCCGTTTTCCCTGGGTAACTTTGATTATTTTATTTTGCATTCTTGGCCAGACATTGTCCCCTTGAGGCTGGCTACGGACTTGACGCTCCTACCCAAAGGAATCACTCCCAATTGAACCGAATCGGCTATTCGACCTTACTTCTTCCAACATATCATCATGCCAGTTGCCATTGTCACCGGCGCCGCGTCAGGCATTGGACGAGCCATCGCCCTTCGCCTAGCAGACGATGGATTCAACGTCATGATAGCGGACATTCCACCGCAACAGGCCGCTTCAGAGGGAGTGGTAGAGGAGATCACAGCCAAAGGAAGAAAAGCTCACTACGTCCCTGTCGACGTGTCCAACCAAGAGCAGGTCAAGGCCATGGTTGCTGAGACAGTGAAGGTCTTTGGCGAGGTGAACGTGATGGTGTCTAACGCTGGCATCCTCGACACGATGCCGGTACTGGAGATCAGTCTAGAAAGATGGGAGAGGACCATGGCCGTCAACTTGCGTGGCGTCTTCCTCTGCCACACTACTGCGGCGAGACAGATGGTCAAGCAAGGCAAAGGAGGGAAGCTCATTGCAGCCTGTTCGATATCAGGCTTCCGTCCTAGTGGCCAGTGTCCCGCATACTGTACCAGTAAGTGGGCTGTCCGGGGCTTCACCCAGACGTGCGCCGTGGAATTGGGTAAGTACGGCATCACAGCCAATGCATATTGCCCGGGTTCAGTGCCCACGAATATGTCGAAACAGTTCTCAGAGAAGCTGGGTAAGAACGTGGGCAGTTCAGACATAGACGAGGCGTACGAGAAGTCAGCATACCGAGTTAGCGCTCTTCAGGTGGATTTACAAACGGAGGATATTGCCGGCCTGGTCAGCTTCCTGGCTGGCAAGGATTCAGACCGCATTACGGGTCAGAGTATGATTTGCGATGGTGGTCAGTATACCCTCTGAAGACCTGCTTGTGCCGCATGACAATCGATCGTTGACATTGATTTGTGTTCGCTTCAACAGGGATACAATTTGCATGACCAGAAAGTAGCTACAGGAAGAGAAAGATTCTATGCTAGTCCTGTGCATAACCCAGGGCGACTACTGCATTGCATACATGAAGATGCACGGCGGTAATATCAGAGGGGATTGCTGCTGAAAGACCGTCCCATGATGAGGCGCGGGGCGAATGAAGCGCAGTGGAGCGCAGAGCGACGAAGCCTTGACGTTCGTTGTAGGGACCTTGTTTGCCTGTACCTTGTACGGCGCTACGATTGAATGCACAAGAGAGAACTTTGTCCAGGGCACACTACACTGACCCTCCGTAACGCATACATTACTGTACCAAAGAGCTTGCACTTTGTATTTCCATTCCATTCCTGTTTGCCGCCTTCTCCGGGGCACCCCGGGCTTGGCGTTCTCCACCTCATCCCGCAGCGGAAATACAACAATTCCGCGGCCAATAACAAAGCACCATTGCCCGAGATGAGGCTTTCCGGGGACCCCACCGATGCATAACTGTCCTCGGGATCTAGAACAACAGGGCATAGAAAACACACCGCCCCACCCTTTTGATCAAGTGGGGGCGACTTATCACCTCGGACGAACCGCCCGAGAAGCATTCCGCGCATTTTGGGTTTCTCGGTCTTGCATTGCCGCCGTCGGTACGACAGACGTCAAGAGACAGAGACTGTCTATATGTTGAATTTGGAGTGACGAAAAAGGACAAACCGTTTGAGCCACTACAACATCCACAACCAGTACCTTGTTTTCTCTTTAGACAAAATGACAATCAACGATCGAGGAAAAGAGGCTTCCACGTCGAATAGCCATGGCGCGAATACTCGAAACCTACCGCCGCTGTATGACCACTGTATTGACGACCTCCCGCCCGTCAAGGTGATATGCATCGGTGCCGGGTTCTCGGGCGTCTTGACCGCCATCAGATTCCCCCAACGAGTGTCCAATCTAGATCTGGTCGTCTATGAGAAGAACCCGGAGGTGGGAGGGACTTGGTACGAGAACAAGTAAGTTCAAATCGATCGGCACGGGCATTTGACAGGCTTGATCTTGACCGAGCCACTGACGGGGCCCTCCCAGTTATCCAGGCGTACGTTGCGACGTACCGTCGGCGGCATATCAATTTTCATTCGAGAGCAATACGCAATGGAGTGAATATTATTGCACCGGCGGGGAAATCCAGCAATACATCAAGCGAACCGCCCACAAATACGGCGCGTACAAATACATCAAGTTCAACACCGAGTTGATCGGCGCTACCTGGGACGAGGATGAGGGAAAGTGGCACGTCAGCCTGAGGGATGTCGAGACGGGAAAGGTAGCAAATTCACTTGTGAACCCCTCATGAAATGCATCATGGTAGTGGTCCTGATTACTGACTACGGGAACCATACAGTCATTTGGAGATTCGTGTCACTTCCTCATCACCGCCACTGGCATTCTCAACAACTGGAAATGGCCAGATATCGAAGGACGCGAGAGCTTTGAGGGCAGAATGGTCCACTCTGCCCGATGGGATCCGACCCTAACTAGTGAGACGATGAAAGACCTTGACATTGCTTTAATCGGAGCCGGGTCAACGGGGATCCAGATCCTCCCTCAGATTCAGCCTGTGGCGAAGCGCGTGGACCATTATATGAGCAGCAAGACCTGGATTTCTCCGATTGGGTTTGGAAGTGAAGAGCTCCAAGCTCGAGGGGCGACAGGCAATTGTGAGTATCAACCCTTTGATATCTCTGGACGGTGCTCATCATATGTCCATGACAGTCAAACATTCTCCTGAAGAACTGGAGCTATTTCGCAAAGACCCCCAGGCCTACTTGGAATGGCGGACCAAGATCGAAAAGATGGTCAACGCCGCGGCACTAATCACATTACACGACTCACCTGTGCAAAAGGAGTTCATGACGATCAACCGCGAGGCCATGGCGAAGAAGTTGGCGAAAAAGCCACACATTATGGAAGCCCTGGAGCCGAACTGGCCGCCCGGGTGCCGTCGTCTGACGCCCGGACCAGGCTACCTCGAGGCCCTCGTAGAGGACAATGTGGACTTTATCTCCACCAAGATCAAGCGGTTTACCAAGAACGGGATCGAGACGGTGGACGGCAAGGAACGCAAGGTTGACCTGGTCATCTGTGCCACAGGATTCGATACATCGCTGAAGCAGCCTATGCCTATCATCGGCAGGAACGGTGCCAACCTCAACGACATCTGGCGTGATGACCCAGTGTCGTATCTGGGAATTTTCCCCCCGGAGATGCCCAACATGATGCGCTTTATCGGGCCCAACGGCGCCTGCGGGACGGGCGGACTTTTACTCGTCATCGAGTACGCGTGCGAGTATATGATCAAGATGGTCCAAAAGGCTCAACGCGAATACATCAAGGCCGTGGTCCCTAAACCAGAGGCGATCCGCATGTTCGTCGAACACACCGACGCCTACTTCACCAAGACCATCTACACACAGCCCTGCAAGTCGTGGATGAAGCGTGGCAAGGAAAACGGACGCATCGTGACCATCTGGCCCGGTTCGGCCATTCACATTGTCAAGTCCTACGAGAACCCGCGCTGGGAGGACTTTGACTACGAGTACTGCTCCGAGACAAAGCACAATCACCTGTCCTGGTTGGGGAACGGGTTGACCGTCTTACAAGAGCAGGACAACCACACGGCCGACTACCTGGTTAATGTGGATCAGCCGCCTGTCGTCAACCATGATGCTGATTCTGATACGGGAGCGGCGGTGCGGGATAGAATACGGATAGATGGGGTGTAGAAGGGGGGAGAGAGCGAGCTATGATATTTAAACCGCATAGTTGAATACGGGCACTTGGGCTATGAAGCATGTGTACAGTGAAAGCACATCAAAACTAGATATGTAAATTTATCTACTATATCTGCCAGCGCTACGCACCTCGTCTGTGCCACTCTCTCTCTCTGTGCCTCTGAATTCTTCCATTCCACTCAAGACTGGCCTAATTTCCACGGACGTGCGCCCTCGCCTTTTCCAACAACAACGGCGCCGAACTAGAAACGGCATCAATTCCCATCAAACTCGTAATCTCCAACATCTCCAGTATCTCGGCGGGGGTCGCGCCTAGCTTTAACGCGTTACGCATGTGAATCTTGGTTCCTCGCGAGTAGAGATGTGTCGTTGCGGCATCAATGGCCGTGATGATGATCTCGCGGTATTTGGGGTCGAGGACCTTGGAGCGCGACGAAAACGAAGAGAAGTCAGTGTACTGGTCGAAGAATTCCGGGTCCAGATCCAACAAGGGTTGGAAGGTCTCGGGCCAAAAGCCTCTGGTCGCGATGAATTTGGCTTTGATTTGCTCTTTTTCTTGTTGCTGCGCCTCGTCCGTTGCGGTAGCATCGATGCCGAGTTCCTCCATCAATTCTTGCAAGATGGGGAAACCCAATGTCACAGTGTGCACGCCCAGGAGGTAACTGAGTCCTAGAACTTCAAAGATCTCTTCGCTCGTGGCGCCCACGTTCAATGCGGCGACCACGTGTGCCTCGACCGCGGGCAGGTGGATGTGCGTCACGGACGAAGCGACGGCGATATAACAAAACTCTTGAATCTTGGGCGGTAAACGTTGCCGGTGCTGCGACGCCCATTGAATCTTGAGGTAGCCTTCTAGGTAGGCCGGGTTGAGCTTGGCCACGGATTCCCAGGCTGGGGACCAGATGCCGCGCTGGGCCTCGAATTGGCGCTTCAGTGCAGCGACTCGGTCGTCCGATGTGGATTGAGCCATGTGAGCCACGTTGAAGGTATTTTGAGAGGTCTGGCGAACACTGGTATCTCAGATGATCAGATCAGTGTCAAAACGCCAAGCCGGTTGTTTTGAGCGCGTGTATACAAGTACCTTTGCCCAGACCCTTCTGTGCTGATGCAACCATTCTGGCAAAATCGACAGCCGAAGGCACCAACAAGTGCTCCGAGCCGAGTGGTTGAATGAGCGAGGGGATCGTGGGTGGGAGAGAAGCCGCATTCCGCACCCAATTCCGTAGGCTCCGCCAAGACTTTCCACCCTCATCAACCATGGACCTCAATTCACTACCCGATCGAGGTGCATAGAGTCGGTCGTCCCGAGCAGGAATTAGATGTGACAGCCCCCTAAAGGCCCTGTCTAGTATATTCTCGCCTGTACGGCGCTGGAGGACATTACAGCTCACACCAGAGCCGGCTCACTCAGAAATACCTACACCCGTACCCAAGCATTTCCGGTGGTAAGTCCTTTGCAGCCATGTGACTCGCCCAAATAACCTAACACCATACAACAGTTTCCCCCCAAGAGTCATGACTTACCCTCAAGGCAAGCGCGCTCTCGTCTTCGGCGCCTCTGGTATCACCGGGTGGGCAGTGGTCAATGAGATCCTCCACGACTACCCGGCCAAGGGTGTCTTTGACAAAGTCGTTGCTCTCACCAACCGACCATTGAGCCTCGAGGTGTCGCAATGGCCCGCGGACAAGAGACTCGAGATTGTCTCGGGCATTGACATCTTGAAAGGCACTCAGGAGGATCTCGAGGCGACCATCAAGTCGAACATCCCAGACATTGACACTGTCACCCATGTGTATTATTATGGTGAGATCATGTCCTGCCTTTCCTTGTTGAGGTCGGGCCTGCGAGTGTATATGTGTCTTGGTATTGACGGGGTTATATCATGTCAGCATTCAAGCCCCAGCCAGATGTCCAGGCAGAGTTAAAAGACGCCGTGGCCATGTTAACCCGAACAACTATCGCCTTGGACCGTCTGGCACCGAAGCTCGAGTTTATTAACCTGCAGACTGGCACCAAGGTGAGTGAAAACCCGTCTATCATTCATGCTTGAAACTCCCCTTGCCAACCGACCACCCATATCTCCCCCCTCACAAGCTCACGGCCACTTGTGTAAACTAGCAATACGGTTACTACCTCCGTCAAGACCACTACTTCCCGGTCCCGCTCAAAGAGAATCTGCCCCGACTCAAGAAGCCCTTTGCCGACGACATCTTCTACTACCCCCAGGTCGACTTCTTGACGGAATTTTCCAAGGATAAGAAATGGACATGGAACGAGACCCGACCAGACATGATCATCGGCTTCGTCTGCAACCTCAGCAACCACTCCCTGGCCGAGATCATGGGCGTCTACCTGTCACTCTGGGTCAAAGTCTACGGCAGAGATTCCGAGGTACCCTTCCCCGGCAACCCAGGAAGCTGGGTCGCCAAGCACAACGAAGCCGGGGCCGACATGATTGCGCGTCAAAACATCTTCACTTCATTACATCCCTCGACCTGTGGTCACGGCGAGGCCTTCAACACGGGGAGCAACCCCCAATGGCACACCTGGGAGCAGAAGTGGCCCCAGATAGCGGCTTATTTCGGCTTGAAAGGCACTCCTCCAGTGTCCGAGACACCAAAACATCGTCCAAGGGACTTTATAGACGAGCATTTCGACGAGTGGCTCGCGTTGGAAAAGGAACACGGGTTACGTCCCGGTGTGGCCAAGTCCGAGGTCCGTCAACCCGTCTTTGAACTAGGTCAGTTGGAATGGACCGACTTTGATCGCCAGGTCGACATGACAAAACTGCAACAAGTTGGTTTCACCGAGAGTGCCGAGGTCATGGAGATTTGGGGCACTTGTTTCGATAGGATGCGCAAGGCTAAACAGATACCTTAGCAATATAGATTCCTAGATGACGGAAGCTTGTTCTTCTTCTTCTTTCCCCACCTCAGATTTACGCACCTGTATACTCATTTTGATAACGTTATGTGTTATCTATCTCGGGAAAGGCCTAAACGGGACCTCTCATCTCTTCAGTAATCATATAGTTCAGTGAGTGGCTTGTCATATGTAGCGGTCTCGAGTTGAATACATCAAAAAGTAAATACATATATAAATATATAGCTATAGCAGCTCCAAAGGCCGACTCTGCGCGACCTCGGTGCTCGTCTTGTCTTCTCCATTGGACGACCCATTCAGCCCGTTGGACAAAGGCTTCGTGGCTTCCAAGGCGATTTTTCCCGCGGGCTGGATCAGGAACCCCTCGAGCTCATTCCGCCGCCTCCACTCGGCCAGGATGGCGTTGAACTCGAGCCCGCCACCACCGTAGGGCTGCGCACGCAGCGTCTTCTCGTCGACGACACCCTCGTTGTTGTAGTAACCAGGGGTGCACTGCATGAGGAAGTCCTTGCGGGCCTGGCTCTTGAGCAAGACGTGATCGACCCAGCTCCGCTCGGCCTCGGGGCTGACCTCGAGAACCTCGATGCCCCGTCGCTGACACTCGTCCAGGACGTAGATAAAATGCGTGCCCATCTCCATCATGCTGTGCGTCCAGTTCGGGTTCGGGGCCGACTGTGTCGGGCCCAGAATGAACATGTTGGGGAACCCGTGGATGGCCCAGCCCTGGAAGGTCGAGGGCCCACCGTTCTTGTCGGACCATTTCTCCGACAGACTGAGGCCGTGGCGACCAAACACTTTGCCGTTGTCCTCGCTAAAGTCGCCGCCAAAGTCGAACCCGGTCGCGTAGATGATGCAGTCCAGTTCGATCTCCTGGCCGCCGTTGACCACCATCCCTTTCGGGGTGACGGCTTCCACGCCCCGACCGTCCGTGTCCACCAGCGTCACGTTCTCCCGGTTGAAGGCCTGTAGGTAGTCGTCGTGGAAGCACGGTCGCTTGCAGAACTGCTGGTAGTAAGGTTTCAGCTTCTCGGCCGTGGTGGCGTCGTGCACGATCTGCTCGACCCGGCGCCGGATATACTCCATCTTCTTGAAGTCGGCGAGCTTGAGTCTCTCGGCGACGGCGTTATTGTCCACGTCGTCGCTGCCCGTGCCGAAGAACCCCGGGGTCGATCGCACCGCGTCCGTCCACCCGTCGTCGACCAGATCAATCTCCGTGGCGCCCCCGTTGATGATGGTGGTGAAGTTCTCCATCCGCTCTCGCTGCCACCCCGGTTGTAGATCCGACGCCCACTTGGAGTCCGTGTCCTTGTTGTTCCGTGCGTCCACAGACGACGGCGTCCGTTGGAAGACGTACAAGTGTTTAGCCCACTCGGCCACGCGAGGCACAATCTGAACCCCCGTCGCCCCGGTGCCGATGATCCCTACGCGTTTATCCCCCAGCCCGACGAGCCGAGGATCTTCGGGGCTACCGCCAGTATAGCTATAGTCCCAACGACAGCTATGGAAGCTCTTACCCTGGAAAGTGTCGATACCCGGAATGCCTGGGAATTTGGGAGTGTGTAGAGGGCCATGGGCGGGTAACACCCATCTGGCCCGGATGTCGTCGCCACGGTCCGTCTCGATCTTCCACAGACGCTCATCATCGAGCCACGTCATTTTCGTCACCTCGGTCTGGAATAAGGACCGTTCGTTGATGCCGTACTTCCTGGCAATGTTCCGTGCGTGCTCGTACAGTTCTTTGCCCGAGACGTACTTGCGGGTCGGGATGGTGCCCATTTCCTCCAGGAGCGGCATGTAAATGTAGGCGTCGATGTCACACTGAATGCCTGGGTATCGGTTCCAATACCTATACGACACAGAGGAAGAATGCGTTAATATCACTTTCAGCGGATTCTTGTCGGCGGAGACCTTACCATGTGCCCCCCACATCACCGCCCTTCTCGACGACACAAATATTCGTATATCCCTTGGTCATTAGCCGAGCCGCGACCTGAATGCCCGTGTAGCCGGCACCGACGATGAGGACATCATAGACGGCCTTAACTGGGTCACGCTTGAAACCTGGCGACACGTACGGATCTTTCAACATGTCGTTCAGGTCCTTGGGACGACTGTGTCGGAACTGAGTCGGACCTCCATTGTGCAGACGCTTGTCTCGCTCGGCGTTGTATTTCTGCTGTAGAGCCTCTGGGTTAAAATCGACCTCGCCATTGGCCACGGTGGGGGCCATGCTTGGAGTCTGGAGGTCAGTCAAGGAGTGTGTCTGTTTATTTTTTGCAGAGTAGCGTCTTTTGCTTGTCCCGGGAACAAAAAAGCGTGTCAGAGAGCTATAATATATTTGATCTTTAGGCCAGGTGGTGCCAACGCGAGGTATAGAAGAAGGCACGGAGATATTTGGACTTCTCGAGGTATACAGTTAGGTGTCGAGATACATTCGCCCGCCCAATTATGTCGAAGCGAGCATGGGATTGCATGAGCCTTGAGCCTTTTGAGGCGAAAGTTCGTCCCGCAATTCGGTAAACAGTGGGATGAAGCTGGAATTCCGCGTCACTCAAAATCAATTCCGAAGGAGGGGCCCCCGAGCAAAGCCTTTTGCTCCAGCCTAAGGAAACTCAGAAGCGCTTTATGATCGAGGTATCTCGCACATAATTTTCATAACCACTACTCAGACTTTAGGCGTGTGCTCGTCTCGGGCCATGTGGTCTGATACTGCCTGCATCTCTCTCTCTCTCTCTCTCGTATGTGCGCTTACGCTCCATGTCTCAAGCGTCGCGTATCTCTAGAAATATGCCATTTTAGGGAGCCAGTAGATGTTTATCTAGGGGAGAAAAGCTATAGCGAAAAAACTTTGGCTTGAAGCCATCTCCCCGTGTTCGTAATTGTCTTGTCCGCCTCTGGAGCCTTCCCAGCCATGAGTTGGTAAACGTGCTGCATTTCCGGCCCAACTTCGTGGGTGACATCGACGCCAGCTTGTTTGGCTCGTTGGACGAGCTTCTCCGAGTCACTGAGTAGAACCTCCCACTCACCAACCGAGACGTGAATGGGGGGAAAGCCGTTCAAGTCTGCGTACAGCGGGTTAGCGAGGGGCAGCTTCGGTGAGGCCTGGTCCAGGTACAGCTGGCTGAAGTACGCCTCGGTTCCTCGATTGGCAAAGACGTCCCTCTGAGCGTTGGAGTCAAGGGACTCGCCAGTGGCCTCCAGGTCAACCCAGGGAGAGATAGCCACGATACCCCCGGGAAGACCGACACCCTCTTCCTTCAGTTTCAGCGTGGTGGTGATGGCGAGATTTCCCCCAGCCGAGTCCCCGGCCAGCACGATCTTGCGAGCCTCGATACCCCGTCCTAGCAGCCATTTAAACGTGGCCACTGCATCCTCGATCTGTGTGGGAAACCGAAACTGGGGCGCCAGGTGGAAGTCGGTCAACAACGCTTGGGCGCCGGCTGCTTTGGCCAGATGAGCAGCCAGTTTCCGGTGGCTCTGCGGTGACCCGGCAAAGCACCCTCCTCCGTGCAGGTACAGAATGACATGACCAGGGTTCGCCGTGGTCGGTTTACACCAGATGGCCGGTCGCACGGTGCCAGGACAGAGAACTTCTTCGTAGACGACATCCGTAGGTTCGGCGGCGAGGATCTGATTGAGCTCAAACATGTACCGGATCTCATCAAACGAGCCTTGGGACGTCTTGGCCAGGGTGCCCTTGATGAACTTGTAGAGATTGACAATGGATTCTGCTTCGGGAGATGGCATCTTTCTTGTCCCTTTCTTGTGTCTCTGTGTGTCTTGTGTTTTTGGGGACAATTGTGATTATACAACGAGGTAGGCCAACAGGTGATGTTGTAGGGTACCCTCTTCCTCCCGCCTACCGTTGTATAGATAGGTACGTTGTATATAGTTGGCGAATTTACAAAGGGGATTTTGTTAAACATAAGCCTACTATATAGTATTAGAACGTCCTTGGTTGGCTATTCGGCGTCAGTCCCGGCGACTCGATACGGATTCCGGCCCAAACTTCGGCTTCTCAGGCCCGGAAGAAAAGCAATCGGAGTCTGAACCTGGATACAATTTACATCAAACTGGAGGCTTGTATACAACTGAGAAATCCTTTTGCGGGTAACATGCACATATTTCACTATCAATCGCCACTGCGTTCTCTACTACTTCACCGCCGACTTCTAACCCTTGGTGTCCCAATCATAGAATGGCCACTGCATTCGGCGGTGATCCCACACCACCTGGGATATTCAAGGGTACACTGACCAGCATGAACGAATACCGACCGAACTCTTCACATCGCTGAGCCAGTCCTTCTAGATCCCACAGCTCTCCGATCGGTGTCCCCCAGGAGGGTAGCAAGTATTGATGAAAAGCTGTTGAAAAGAAGCATAAAGTGTCCCCTTGGGTATCAGTTTCTCGCTCCTCATTCTCAAGTGGAGTAAACATCGCGCTACAGGACAGGGGGAGGAGGAACTTACAAGGACTGTCTTTGGGCAAGGGCATAGCTTCCCAAGCCAAAGAATCCCCAGCGACGGCAGAGAAATGGTGGTTCCACACCCACGAGACGGTCTCATGGTCTGCCTGCACGCCCGCCGATTCTCGCGCCTCGTCCAAGAACCACGCGTCTCTCTTGGTCGGATCGTTACATTCGTTGTACCATTTGCCGAAACCGGTTCTCACCAGGAGTATGTCACCCTGTTTGAAGGTGAGGCCCTGCTCACGGGCTGCAACCTCCAAATCTCGACTCGTGAACCCAAAGTATTTTGTCGGGTCGTATTTGATCTCGTGGCGCTGGGCGTACTTGACCAGATCGATCAGGACGCCTCGACCGGTGACGCCGCCCTTTTCGTGCCATTCTAGAGACAATAACCTCCGTGTCAGCCGCCGTGGCTTGATTGAAATTAGACGAGGGAAGAGGTAAGTGGTTCATCACGCACTATGTATCCCAAGCTTGGTGGTTGCTTTGGGGCCTAGGACCTCATCCTTGGTCACGCCATTATAGAGCAGTCCATTATCGTGGACAATGTGACGGAGACCGTCCCACTGCGACCCGGCCTGGGTGTTGAAGAGAACCGTGTCGTCAAAGCTCTGGGATGAGCTGAAGGTGCTGTTATCCCGGATCGTGTGTTGGAGGCCCTGGCGACGAAAGATTGCGATAGAAGGTTGATCGAGGGCCAGGCTTCGAAACGAGAAGAACAAGAAGACCAAATAGTCAGCAGCCTTGAAAGAAAAAGGACCACCTTCTTCGGTTCACCAGGGAATACCCGGTAAACTGAGTAGTTATACGCCCAACCCGTCCGAAGAACCCCAGGGAAACTACTGTCTTTCTCCACTCACTTCAATGACACCGAGATACCTTCACGAATCTCCTTAGCCGCCTCTTTGATCACTGCCGGTGTCAAGAGGTTCAAAGTCCCCAGTTCATCCTTCTGGCCGTCTCGATCCCATAGGCCCCAGGTCGCCGACGGGGGCACCCCCTCTTGAGTCGGAATCTCATTGAAATCGGGCAATTTGTCGATTCGGTCGTGGAAGGAGACCGGCGCGAGATCCATTCTTGATAATGCCCGAGATGTCTCTTGCCTACGTCCCTCTATTTTTTCTAACCGGGAGTCGGAATATATGCTATGCTCTCCAGTATATTTTGGTGAAATTTGCACGGCCTTTTAAGATAATAGTGTAGATGTGAACTTCCACAAAGGGCCGCCGGAATTATCAGTGGTGCTTCGGGTGATCATGAAAGGGATAGTGTCCGCCCCGGACGGGGCTTTGGCGGGTGAGGCAGGGGATTGATTGATACAAGGAGGCATTATTACCGAGACGGCATTGCGCCGCCCGATAAAATTCCGCCATGGTTCAAGGAATTGTATAATCTGGTTCCATCACTATGGGCCCGAAATTCCAGATGCAGTACATAACAAAAGGTAAGGGCGAGTAGACAAACATGCATACTAGGGGTATATACAAACATTATCGTCCCGTCTTCTGTGACGCGCTGGCTGTTGCATTAAGAGCCCTCTCCAGACCCTCCTTTCAACCAAACTGATCAAATGACCGAAATTCCAATATCGCAGCGTCATCCAAGGGCGCATCGAGAGTTGCATCGTAAAGGAGATCGAACATGTTCGCGCTGTATTGGTTGAGCTCCAAACAGTTGCCCATGTTGGTATCCATGTCCGCCACTTGGAACGTTTTCGAAGTCTGGCTCGCCGTCGCCGTCTTGTCTCTGCCCCTGATATTCAACTCGACCGCCGACACGATCCTCCTCAGTCGTTTCAACATGGCCCGCGCTAGGGCAAAGCCCGAGGAGACGTCCTGAAAGACCATCATGGCTTTCTGATATAGACTTATCGCGTCTTCCCGCAGATTGTTTTGCGGGCCACCTTTCAAAATGATACATGCCACCGGAATCATAGCCCCCGTCAGGTACGTGATGGAAGAATAGCGTTCAAGCTCTTGGTGGAGACTCGAAAAGTGCGTGTTGTAAATGGTCATGATGGAATCGCTGGCAATGGGTAAACAGATCTCGGCAGCCCGTTGGCGAAAATCAGATCCAACCATCGACTGCCGCTGGAGCAGGAGTCGGAGGTGATTGACACGCTGCGACCGTCAGAGAGACGTTGTAACAAGAAAGAATGCTGCAGACTTACCAGGTGGAGAATGTACGCCTGCCGGACGATGTACCGCGGTGTTTCTCGGGCGCCGGGGGAGGTCGACAGCTCGCCTCTCCATTGTAGGTGCTTGGGAAACCTGTCTCGGAGGAGGATCAACCTCGCGTCCATCGTCACAACGTACTCGTCGCTGATGGTGCTTTCGGCATTCAAACCATACATCTTGTCCCAGACCTCGGCGCTGAGTTGGCCCCATCTCACAATGTTGTGCTGATATGGACTGGCAGAATGTTCAGGGGTTTCCTCGGGAAGCAGATCACCAGCATTAAGCATTTGATCATTTACAGCCGCGGGCAAGTCGACCCGATGCTCGGTGTCCCGAAGGAGGTAAGGCATCCCGCTGACCTGTGCCACAGTACGATCTAAGCAGTAGATGGACCAGAAGATGCGTTGTCGCATGTGGACCTCAAAGGGAGTGCAGTCCTTCCAGGTCGATTGGCGATTCAGCCCGTTCTGGTAACAAAGACGGACTGCCTGAGATACCGCCTCGTACGAGGCATTGTACTCCTCGATGTATAATAGGTAGAGGGCTTTGATGATGAAACAATTGGCTGTTTGTACATCCCCTCTTCCCATATGAGTATTGTGGGAAAGTAAGTGACTAGCACGATTGAATTCTTGCCAACCCGGAATTGCCGATGATTCGGTGCAATAGTCCTCGAGAATTTTCATCAACGCCACTAGTAAATACACTAGAGCCACGAACTGGAGTGCCTCTCGGTTGCGAAGAGTGCTGATATCGCTGGTCGAATAGGTTTGCAAATCCGAAAAGAAGCGGCTTTCGTTGAGGCAAGGGTCTGTATATGTCAATCATCATATCGACTTCCATTCGGATGGTTGGAGACCAAAACTCACAGTGCGGATTCAGAAAGGTGAAATATCTTCTCAGGGTATTCTGGTCCTGGTCATGATTTCGGTAATTCATGCGCGATGTCCATACGAGCAATTCCCTCTCGCAACAGTCCGGGAAAGCATTCCAACGTGCGAAAGGACAGTGGTTTAGGGCTGCGGGCTGTTCCACTGACTTGTCTGGAGGGATAAGCTGGTCAAGGTCTGCTATTGTCTTGCGGGCACTCGTCCCTCCGCGGATCGCCTCGTCCATTTGATCCGGATCGTTCTCCAGGAGGGAGGAGCGATCGTTCTGCGCGACGGACGGCGATAACCAATCTGACCCTGCACTAGGGCTAGCATCGTCCCCGTCAGGGAGCTCCGCTTGCTGAGGAAAAGCCTTCTCCAGTCTCGCCAATCGTGCTTCAAAATCCATTGTTTGCTGGGTACCTGATGGCACAGACTGAGCGGCCACATTTTTTGGGGCGCTTCCTGACGCTGAGAGCGAGTCTGGCTGGACTGAAACATGACGCGGGCTAGAAGGAGGAGCTGGAGCGGCATTGCATACATTCTCCAAGCGGCTCGGCCTGGGGATTTATTGTCAACATGTCTCATCTCCAACCTTTGATGTCGTAAATTTAAGGAAAGAGGTACTTGCCTGGCGTTGCTTGAGCTGTCTACCATTCGGTGTCTTCGACGCGAACCCGTTCGATACTCGCAATTGGCGCCAGTCAGGCCGCATTGGTAGCATGGGCCAGGCTGTTCTCCAGAACACTTTTCATGGTGTCAGTAATACCGCCACATCGAGTTTCGAAGATGCGTTTTCTCAATCAGTGACACACTAACCCTCACTTTCCGTCGCTGGCATTTCAGGCTGAGACAAGGATTCCACGTCAGTCTTTGAAGATTTCCACGACATCCGCAAGCAGGCCGGCAGCACTCACCAAGCTCGTGACGTGTACTTGTTTCGGCGCGTCGGTGGAGGGAGTCGGGAGGCAGACGTCGGCTCTGCGATGGATATAGATGTCTGTTGGACGTCTGCTGGCAGGTCGGTCCCTGCGCCAATGCCGGCGCCAGGAACCAAATCGTTCAGCAAGGGACCCGTAGAAGTGTGGTGAAAGGCCGGTTGATCCATCTCTCATGCACGACGGCGATGGCGCCTGGTGGTTCTTGGTCGAATGTAATAGGATACAGCCTGGTCTGTTTGACGTTGGTGTGTCTCTTCCAGGAGCAACAAGGAACTACTGCGGCAACGTCGACAAGCCAAGTTTTTATGCGTTCGGGCTGTTCGGCAGGCACTGGCAGGGCAGTCCAGGCCCCGGGCGGCGCCAAGTGCGGGGTGCGGGGGCCTCTCTACATTGCCTTTGAAAGCTGGTGCTGCTCCCTGTGGCTGCTGAAACAACCTGTCACTTGGCCCACAGTCTACCATCTGGCTTAACTTTTACAGGGCTACTTTGGGATCATCTTATGACTCGAGTCGAGGCGAAGTGCCATGTGGTCTTGCTCTTGCCACCTATCTACCCACCCTGAACACACCTAACGATGGGCCCGGGGTTGCCACCGAGCTAGGGGTTGGCCTTTCAGAACCTTCCCACGGAATGTGGAATTTCGGTATTAGGAATTCGGAATTGACAGGACATCGCCTCAGAAAGAACGATCCCCGTTGCTCGCAAGGCTCACGCAATGTTGCGATTGGAACCAGGGCAATCTAGGAAATAGAGCTTTGACATGCCCGGCTACGATGTCGGCAAGGGTTCTTTCCTTCGCTTTCAGGATGTTGCCTAGTGCGTGGGAACATCCAAGCGTTTGATAACTCTTCTCCCTGAGTCTCGGCTTGTTGCGTGAACGAAGTCAGCGTTGTTCAAGTCTCTCCTACTGCGGTCGTTCGATTCTGAACACAGCGAGCCATGAAGCCTGGTGCAAAAACATCCCTCGTTCGCTTCAGCGATCTTGAGCCATCATGGCACGTCCCCGGAGCCAAAGTCCCCGGCACCATGAGATGGCTTATTAGTTGGGTCGGCGGGCCAGCGGGCTATATCAATTCCAGCCCCGGAAAAGCTGTGGAAAATGAAGATATTGGTGTTGGATTCATGTATCTACCAGTGGGACAACGGCAGCAGGGTCTACACTACCATGAGGTTACGGAGATATATATCATCATCAAGGGCTTTCTGGAAGGGTACGACGGGACAGGCAAGTCTCACCGAGCAGGTCCCATGGATTTGATCAATATTCCTGCTGGTGTTCCTCACGGCGTGCGCAATTGCGGCTCTGAAGATGTGGAGATGGTCTGGCTACACGATGGAGTCGAGAAAAAGGGGGTTACGGTGTACTGTACGACGGAAGAGGACATCAGAAACGCGCCTGGCAAGGAGCCGATCACGATCGTCTCACTAAAGGATCTGGAGCCTTGTTGGTCACTACCTCGCGCCAAGGAACCCGAGTTTCTTAGATGGTCAATCAACTGGATCGGAGGTCCATCTGGGTACCAGAACCTGAATCGCGGGCTGGCGGTCGAGAGCGAGAAGATTACGGCTGGCCTGACGGTCCTCATGCCGGGCAATAAACAACCGCCGTACGCCCAAGAGCAAGTGTCAGAGACCTGTATTATCGCGGGAGGAAAAGCGGTCATAAATCTCGGTCAAGGCAACACAGAAGTTGGCTACCTGGATTGCCTTTACTTTCCACCAGGGCTTACTCATTCACTGCGAAACCACGGCACCGAACCGGCTTACATTCTATGGGCTCATTCTAAGGCGAACCCAATTGGCGCAACGGTCTATCAAGGGGAAACAAACACGCATTGTAACGGCAATGGCAGCAGCTCGGCTGATTGAGAGTCTTTCTTTTTTCTAGAGGAATGCGCATACACGTCTTTTTTCCGTCTCTGGCATACCTATCAATCAGGGTCATTTTCAATACCGACACTTTTACAGCCATGGAGCTGGATCGAATGCACGAGTCGATATTGCCTTACCTTAGACTACCTGCATATCTCTCCTGGAGTTTTCGTATTTATGGACCGACTTTGATGATTTCCGATTCTGGCCGTGGTAGATGTGAGTCTGACTAGAGCAGGCCCGTGGGAGGGCCAGGATAGGGTTCTTCGACGGTTCATTTTATGAACGCGACAGGCGACTGACAACAGCACGTGGACTTAACTTCCAGCCCTGTTGATGTGTTCAAGATTGCCGAAGATGTGGCTGGGCGTCCCGTCCAGTATTCGGGCGTGTCAGAATACTGTATAGATGCTTAGAACCTGCCTCTCAAGACGCTCTTTTTGGGCTATTCAGACTCTAAATGATTGCAACTCCATCTCCATGAAACATCAGGGTAGACTGGGTATATACTAGACCTCTCAGGAGTGTATTGGGCCAGTTAATTAAGGTGCTCATAACCAGTGTAAATCAATCGTATAAAACTATAAATGTGGATAAAAGAACATAAGTGAAGAATGTTACACAGGCATTGGATGGCCACCAGGGCAACGGATATGGCGCTGAGGGGTAGGGCGCTAATGGCTCATCTGTTTTCCTGATCTTCCCTAGACGCCTGGACTTCACATCTCTCAAAGCATTATCAAGGATAATCAGGGCTGTCAAAGCGACAAGGTGCAGGTGTGGAGGGTCTTGAAATAGATTACAGAGCGGATATTTAGCAATGCGAAGAAACTACATGCGGTCAAGAGATCGAGAGTAATATCTTACCCATCGCCATCAGGGACCATCTCTCCGACTCAGCAATTTTGTGTCGATTGAAACGTATGACCTTGAGCATGGAATATATGTGTGGATGGAGAGAAACGAGTATTTTATCCTTTTGGTCCCAGTCCCATCTTGCCATGTGGCAAAAACGCGGTCTGACTGGAGTCCAACAGCTGCACCTCGTAGAGCCGCGGGCCAATGTCTGTCAGGCATGCGACAGGGGGTTCTCCTCTCAGGGATGAAGTTCTCAAAGAGCTGCCACTCAGCTGTCATGACCACCTACCCATCTCTTTGATTTTCAGCAATATCCCCACTACGGCAACAGCAGCCGTCCGATTTGCCCTCGGGTGTATTGGGTTATGCCCATCACTTGTCCGTCTAGAACGGGCCCTAATCTGGCCCAGAAATGGGTGGCGACATCGGGCACTGGTGCCCGCGGTTTCAAGGAGAGGGTCCCTTCCGAGATCTGGGATCTGCTGATACCGCACTGTCGGACGTGTCGAATTTCGTTGGCGTGGAACTAATTCTTTTTCGATAGCACACAACTTCGTCTGAGAACCGTGTGGTCCTGTGTCGCCAACAGACGCTCTGTGGTGCACTGCAGAGAGGTGGATGGGATAGGACAACATCCGTGCATTCGTTTGCTGTCGTTTGCAGTGCAGCCAATGGGACGCAGCCCTGTCCGTTTATGCGGGTAAATGTGCCTTTCCATTTGATGTCGCTTGAACAAAGAAAACGAGACGCGTCTGATGAGGTGGCTGATCTGTTTGCAGTCCTATTAACAGTCACAGTCTCAATTCAGAGCAAAGTGCAGCTCCGTCGGCGAGTGGAATTGTTGTTTTTGAAAGCTCGGCCGTGAATTGCGCTGTCGTCACATCGGGGTGCAGTTTTCACTTCCACCTTCTCCCATCAGACGAGCCATTATCACTTGCACTTTCACTTCCACAACCAACACACCACACCGCCTGGCGCAGTTTACTTTACAACTTTACCATTCATGAATTTTTCAGATCCGCCTCCTTCAGTTCTCTACAACAACACCTCCAACCCTCTGCTCTCTCTCCATTTTCGGCTTGGCGATCAGCTTCCGTCATAGGCTCACCTGGCTGGCCTCACTTTCCGCCTCCCCCGATCGATCTAGTTCCACCTCGACAGGCCATTCAAGGGTCGAAATAATAGGCCTCATCCAGTGATCGGCGCTTTATCTCCCACGGGACCCCTGGCCTCACCTTCAAACCCCTAAGTCTCAGCCTGACCGCCTCTCTGTCTCGGAATATGGCTAGCTGCCTTTGCTTTTACCTCCAAGCGCCACGATGAACACACAGCCTCCATACCCGCTGAACAGACCTGGAACTCGTGATGTGACACGCCAAAATAGTGCTGAGAAAGAATGGAGAAGCTGGCCGTCGGTGAAGGCAACTATTCCTAATTTGCCCCACGGTACAACAACCTACGATATCCATAAGAATCTCCAGCGCTTTGGGAGACTAGAATACATCCGCATCGAGGAGACTCGTCAAGGCAACTTCGCCAGATTTGCTCAGGTTGTTTTCAAGTAGGTCAATCTATGACGGTGAGAATCTTTGCTAATCCAGGTCACAGACCTCCGCCCATTCGGAGAGCTCCATGGGACCCGGCGTACAAACATGGCATTGACTTCCCTCTTCGAAGCAAAGATGGTGAAAGACCAAACAGAGTGAGGGTGTACTTGTCCCAAAACCAACCCACGATTCAAGTCTTTCGGAGTCGTGCTTACTCTGGCCTGACATATCCGTCCGAAATGACCCTGTTAGGCTACTCGATCGACTTCGGCTATCTTCAAAATCCGTCACTGATGGTCGTTAAGGCGAGCAAGTCCGAAATCCACGGTGCCGGTGTCAGACTGCTTCTCAATCTGAAACGCCTAGAATTGGAAGTCCACTTTCCCGTACTGATCAAATCAAAGGGCAAGACCAGCGAAAGAGTTTACCGATTCTTTCTAGCTCTCGACGATCAATTTTCTCTTTCTGAAGTTCCAAATGGAGTGTTGTCTTCATTGGTGATCCATGCAAAGCATCCGCCCTGCTATTCAAGGCAACTGAAGGAGGCCATGCAGCTGAGTCACGACCCGAAGTCATACAGATGGTCCGCGGATGATACATGGTCTCGACAGACCGACCTTGTTGACGAAAAGGAAACATATACAAAGATCGACAGCAGTCCTGTGTCAGTGCAAAAGCTCTACAACAGCATTGATATTGGCCGTTGGACGACCTTCCGGGTCACTATCAAGCCATGCACTGACCGCCCCGACAATTCTTCGGAATTCTTCCTCAAGGCTCTTGCCGATTTCAACATACGCATCACTCGTGATCCTTCGTTCAGGGTCATACCAGGCCAAACTGGCGTGGCGCCTGTTTGGCGTATGTTGAGTGGTACTTCCTCACTTCAATCCTTCTCGGACCAGCTTTCCTTGCCATATCTTGGTTTCGATTTGAGATATCAACTTGAGGTTTGTATCTCCAAAGGCTGGCTCAATGAGTACAGTTTGGACGACAAGTTCCTGCGACAGCTTACAGCAATGCGACCTGAGCGTGCGAAGCAGATGCTCGTTCATGTCGATTCATACCAACAGAGAGTCTACGATCCCATGTCCATCTTTACCGATCTTCGTTACTCAAAGCCTGTCCGTGCTCGTCCACTGCCAGTGAATTGCGCAGAGATATACCATGCCACGGTCACCGCAACGCGAATCCTCTTCCACACCCCGTCCGTCGAGATCACCAATCGTATTGTGCGCAAGTATAGGCGCTTCAGCGATCGATTTCTTCGGGTCCGCTTCGAAGATGAGCCATACAGGGGCCAAACAAGGCTCTATCCCGCAACAAATGGCAAGATGAAGCTCATCTTTGAGAGAGTTCGTCGTACACTGAAAAATGGTATTCTTCTTGGTGATCGACATTACGAGTTTCTCGCGTGGGGCAACTCACAGCTCCGAGAACACGGAGCATACTTCTTCGCTGCCTCACAGAACCCCGTCATCACCGCCGACAGTATTCGCAGAGAAATGGGCACTTTTGACCACGAAAAGGTTGTCGCAAAGCGAGCCGCGCGAATGGGCCAGTGCTTTTCTACTACGAAACCAGTTCCGGTGCTCAGCAGAAACAGTTGGAAAAGAGACCCGATCCCGGACATAGTCAATGGTCCTTACACTTTCACTGATGGGGTGGGTAAGATCTCTCCTCTTGCTGCTCAGCTTGTCAAAACAAATCTCAAACTTGCTGGCGAGCACCTGCCTTCAGCATTCCAATTTCGACTGGGTGGCTGTAAGGGCGTCCTGGCGGTGGATCCCAAGCTCAATGGCGTTGACATCAAAATCCGTCCGAGTCAGTACAAATTCAGCTGTGAGTCCGATGAGTTGGAGATCATTCGCGTCTCAGAATTCTGGCAACCATTCCTCAACCGACAGATCATTTTGGTACTCTCGGCGCTCGGCGTCCCTGATCGCGTATTCTTGCACAAGCAATTGGACTGCATAAAGGCATTGGACGCCGCTCTCGTGGATGACAAAGCTGCCTTGCGAGCGTTGCGCTCCACCGTTGACCCCAATTCAATCACCCTGAGCATCGCTTCCTTGATAGAGGCCGGGTTCAGTCACATCCATGAACCCTTTGTGACGTCTCTGATACGGCTTTGGAGGGCCTGGACCTTGAAATACCTGAAGGAGAAAGCAAAGATCCCGATCACTCAAGGAGCCTTCGTGCTCGGTGTTGTCGATGAAACGAGGACACTTCGTGGCCACATCAACGATATGCAGCCTGGACCTGGCGCAAGCGAACAGGAGAAGGAGAGATCGTTGCCAGAGATCTTCATCCAATACACAGACCCGGAACAAAAGGGAGTGCGCCGCATTGTGGAAGGAATTTGTGTCATTGCCCGGAATCCGTCCTTGCACCGAGGTGATGTACGAGTGGTCAAAGCCATTGATGTGCCACATTTACACCATCACTGTGATGTGGTGGTCATGCCAGCGACTGGAGATCGTGACTTGCCAAGTATGTGCTCAGGCGGTGATCTCGACGGAGATGACTACATTGTGAGCTGGGACCCAGATCTCATTCCTTCGGAATGGAATGCCGAACCCTTTCATTATAACGCTCCGAAGCCAATACAGAAAGAGCAGATATCTATCGACGATATTATCAATTTCTTCTACGATTACATGCAGAATGATTTCCTCGGAAGGATCGCCAATGCTCATCTCGCAGCTGCTGACTACCTCCATGACGGAATCAACAGCGAGCAATGCCTCAAGCTTGTCGGGCTCCATTCGTTGGCCGTTGATTATCCCAAGACCGGCATCCCTGCCGAGATGAGTCGAGACCTTGAACGGAACAACTGGCCTCACTTCATGGAAAAGAAGCGAGCAGGAGGATACCGTTCTAAGAAGATTTTAGGTCAATTGTACGATGCAGTTGAGCGAGCAAAATTTAAGCCGCATTGGTCAGGCAACTTCGACCAGCGAATCCTCCTGCATACACCAGCAGATGAGATCAGAGGTATTGTCAGCAATATGAAAAAGAGTTACGATGAGAGTATGCGGCGCATTATGGCTCAACATCAAATTGGTTCCGAGTTTGAGGTTTGGTCTACGTTTGTACTCCACCACAGCAAAGTGTCTAGAGATTTCAAGTTCCATGAAGAGATTGGACAGCACGCCAAAACTTTGAAGGACCAATACTACGAAGCACTCTGCCAGGAGGCTGGAGGACATGAGACTGAGAAGCTTAAGCCATTTGCGATAGCAGCTTATCATGTCACTCACGACGAATTTCGAGAGGCACAAATCCATCAGCAAGACGTCCAAGAGGATGACTCAGAGTCTGCTGATTCAGATATACCAGGCTTGGCTTCTTCGACAATGCCGTTTATATCCTTCCCCTGGGTTCTTCAGGATACACTGGTGAAAATTGCAAGGAACACAGTTCTGCATGACGGAGGCGAGGCATTGCAGACTGCTGATCAACGGTCAACGCGTAGTGACGACGCGGTACAAGTGGAGACTGACCCCTTCCTTGAAGGATTTGGTCGTAAATGGACCTATTATGGGGAGCATTTGCCTGATCCGTATATTCCTGTCACGGAGCGCGCGGACAAGGCTCTGTCAGAAATAATACCGAACGAAATGTTACGCGCAGGGACGATGCCACCACCTCCTCCAAGGGAAAGCCCAACAGCAAAGCCTTCGCCTAGCGAACGACACTTTCTCGACGCATTCGGAAACATGGACGATCAAGCCGTGTCTGATATCAGCTCAATGGTTTCTTCCAACGTACCCTCTGTGGTCTTAAGTAACATGAGTGCATCCACCAGCTCAGACGATATCGACCCTCCCCCTTCCCCTGAGTGTCTTACATCTCAGGTCCTGCCATCTTCCCGAATCTCCAGCTCTAATGACACGGGCCGGTTCCAGGACCTCCGGATGCCGACTTCAAATAATATCCATCCACTTGCCGTTCACGAGAAACTGCCGCTCAAAGACCCGGTTTTGATGACACAGGAAGAGCTTCGCGCCTTTGGGGGTGATAGTGGTGATGAGGATGACTTTACCTTCTAAATCTGACGTCTGTTCAGAATCACGACGAAACCCTCGGGCCAGCATATCGAACGATGAATGTGATTCTCTCCGCTGGCGGTCCTCACTTTCTTTTCTCCGCTTATTGACCTTTCCAGACATGCGTGTCGACCTACACGAAACGACGGTCGTGACCGACCAATGATGAAATCAGGGGTTTTGGGGGGATTGTGGGTTTTCTCATATCTACTGATCTCAGAAATGCATGATACCCAAAGGCATAGCGTGGCGTTTTACACCAGTTTATCCGGGATCTAGGGAGGGAGACGTTGCCGTCAACGTGTGGGTGATTGGACAACTTCTAGATGTGCGAGCCACGGCGCGGCATCGACGGCGATAAAGGCGTAACCTGCGTCCCAGCTGGGACTCGGGAATTCATGGCGGCCGTGGCGACTAAAGTAGGCTGGGTGCAGAAAACCAGGATTCGTGACGTTGCGACTATAGGCAACTAGTTGAGAGCTGAGCTAGCCAGCCAGTCAAGCACACATGAAGCGCGCAATTCCTCGAGACTGCACATGACTTCCCTCTTAAGTATGAACGAGCAGTCCCATTACGAGTCAACACTGCAAGCAAGCAAGGCCGAGAAAGTTTATTGCTTCAACGGACCCTGGTTAGTAGGTTTTATGCCGTGTCAACCACCCCTGGAAGGGAGTTGCTTGCTTGTACAGGACGTCGAAGGACACACGGAGGTCAGGGGTAGGGAGATAGACAGACGCAAAAGTCACACGATCGGGGGAAAAGGGAGCATTGGTCGCAATGTAGGCAATATCAAACCTCTCTCTCTCTCTCACTCTCTCCCCTCTTGCGTTGTTTCACATTGGTCAGTTCACTTCAAGCACGATCGCAGTCGCATTGGCATTCGCATTTCCAGGGCCATGCGCCACCCCTTCAACACTGTTTTGACGGTTTTTCAAATCGATTGTCATTTCTCCTAGGCAGGAAGCATATCGAGGCAAGCAGGTAGATATGGAGAAGGAAAAAGACCCTTGGCCATTATTTTGCTCTGTCGGAATTTCTCTCTTCGGGGTGTCAAAGCCGCCGCCCATACACATAACCTCTGGGAGAAGAGCAGGCGGGGCCTGGTTTTTCGTCCTTGAGACTCTCTCTTTCCGCTACCTCCACAATGCGCAGTTCTCTCTCGCCTTGCTCACAAACCATGGCTTTTTGAAGTTCTCCATTTCACTTCCCCGGTCCATACCCATCTCGTCGATTCAGGGCCCGTCCTGGCCTGTCATAGCAAAAAAAAGACACGCAAAACCCAGTCTCTCCGCGTTTAGATGTGCGTATCGTATGGTTGAGGAGCAAGACTCTCGACACCTGTGAACTCGACGACGTGGGATTTCCGGGGACCTTGGGGTTGACGCTTCAGCTGCACGGATTCGCCCTTCTCCTTGGCCTCGCGGCGGCGGTTGGCGTTCGACTTGACTCTGTTCAAGACTGCAGATATTCACATCATACATCAGCATATGACACCTCGATCGGATTCCACATGACTCCTCCACAAGAGTATCTAGGTCGCTACACGGATAAATGTGTGGAAAGTGAGGTAGGCGGGACTTACACTCTTCTCTCGATCTCGAATGGGCAATGTGCTCGACGCGGACGTTGACTCGCTTCTCGATGTATCGGTTTCCGACACGCTTGTAGATGATGACTCCGACGGCGGATTTGGTCACGTTGTACACGACGCCAGTCTTGCCATGGTACACTTTGTAGGGCATCTAAATTTTTTCCAGAACAAAGATCAGTTATCGGCGGTTGTGGGTGATAGAGGGTAAAAACTGCCGGGTGGCATTTGCAAAGTTCGCATCAAGGGGACACAACATACACCCTTTTGGACTGCGCCGTTGGCCTTGATGTCGACGATATCACCGACTCGGTATGTCTTCATATACGTCGAGAGAGGGATCATGCCCTGTAAAATTCACCCCGTCAGTCCTTCAGCTTCTTCGCACACATTCTCTGGCTGATTCGTACCTTCTGGCGGAAGCTGCGGCTGAACGCATAGCGCGTGCCAGACCGGAGACCTCGAGAGTGACCCATTGTGACAGATGAGTTCGAGGCGACTTGTCTGCAAGGAAAAGATCGAGTTGTCGAGACGGATTATAGAACTGTTCAATGTTGGTGTGGTGGGCTCAAAGGCGCAGTTGCCCAAAATCAATGCCAAGCCGCGGAGCGTGAAATTCGAATTGTGCGGCCACGCCAAGACTCGAAATCCGCCCAATTTTGCACCAGACACAAGCCCACCTCAATTGCATCTCCTCTACGAAAAATAACCGTCCAACCGCCCAACGACTTCTCACCTGCGACGACCATCTCGATTGCGCCGGCTACATCGCAATCATGGCGCCGCGCTCCTACTCAAAGACCTACAAGGTCCCTCGTCGACGTAAGTGACATGCCGTGCCGTGCTTTGCTGTCCGAAAGGAGAATAACAGGCTGACTTTGCAAAAACAGCATTCGAGTCTGCCCGTCTGTACGTTGATTAATATCCTGGCCACTGAGCACCAGCTTGTCTGTGCTTCATGTCTGAGATATTCTGACTGTCCACTAGTGATTCGGAATTGAAGATTGTGGGCGAATATGGCCTGCGCAACAAGCGTGAAGTCTGGCGTGTCATGCTCACGCTGTCCAAGATTCGACGTGCTGCTCGGTATGCAATCACCAGTCCTGCTTTGGAGTCTCTCTCCTGCAACAGGCAGTTTTGGAGAGGGTTATTTTACTGACGTCTGTGTTTTCGCTGGTAGTCAACTCTTGACCCTCGACGAAAAGGACCCCAAGCGACTCTTCGAAGGCAACGCCCTCATTCGCCGTCTCGTGCGTGTCGGTGTGCTCGATGAATCGCGCATGAAACTCGATTACGTGTTGGCCCTCAAGGTCGAAGATTTCTTGGAGCGCCGCCTGCAAACCTGCGTCTACAAACTCGGTCTCGCCAAGTCCATCCACCACGCCCGTGTGCTGATCAAGCAGCGACACATCCGCGTCGGCAAGCAGATCGTCAACGTCCCCTCTTTCGTCGTGCGACTTGACAGCCAGAAGCACATTGACTTCGCGTTGACGAGTCCCTTCGGCGGTGGCCGCCCTGGTCGCGTCAGGAGAAAGAAGGCCAAGGCTGCGGAAAAGAAGGATGAGGATGGCGAGGAAGGCGGCGAGGACGAGGAGTAGATCATATGACCAACATGACGGATGGGGGACTGATCAGTCAATCTCGGCCCGCCTCGACTATCCAGATGTTGATGGGAGTGTTGGCATGTAACGTCAAAAAGGCATTTTTGTTCAAAGCAGAATTAAGCCATCTCAGCGACACCAAAACGGGAAAGAAAACCCAATTGGCGCCAATTGACGACATGTCTCAAGTCAAGAACTTTAGCATGCCAGCGGTTGATTCCGCCAGGTAGCTAAGCTAGCTAGCGAGCGAGCGATACAAGGTTTCCTTCATACAAGAAATCTTTGGTTGCATTTCCATTTCCATTTCCAGTCCTTGTTCTAGGGTATCATCGTGTGCCATTAGCAAAGCAGTAAACGCCAGCAATCATCCAAAAAGTCGGCACGACGTCTCGTCTCGTCTCCACATCTCAACGTGTCCTCGTTCCCTTCGTGATCAGGATTCGGTCCTTTACACCCCCAGCAATCCCTTCATGACTGCCTCGTTGGCTCTATACCATCTGCCCAACTCCTCCACCTCGTCTCTCCCCCCTTGCTCACGCCTCCTCCTCCCCTCGATCGCCAGCTTCGTGCTCTCGTTGCGCCTCTTCTCCAGATCGACCAGTTCACGGTCCATTTTCTCGACCTCGCGCACCTTTGCGGGCATCAGCCTCTGCAGCTCCGCGATTTCCCTGTCGATCTCGGCGTTGCGCTCTCGCTGTTCCGTGAGCGCCTGTTCCGTGGCCGCGAGCGAGAGATGCATCCTCGGGTCGCCGCTTCCCGGATCCGCGCCGTCGCGACCCCGTCGAACCGCAATGTCGGCCTGTAACCTCTCCACCTCGGCCCTCAACGTCTCGATCTCCGCCGGAACCCGTTCGAGTACGTCCATGCCCTCTCTGACGCCCTCGTACGCGCGCGCGACATCCCGCGCCCGCCCCTCCATCTCCTCGACCAAGGCGTCGACCTCGTCCTTTTTCGCCTTCAACTCCCTCTTCATCACCGCTAGCCTCTCCTCCAGGAGCAGATTATCTTCATGGCTCACGACGAGGGGAGGGTCCCCTACGATGCTGCGCAGGTATTTCTCCTTGGTGACCTGTTCGAGGTAGCTGAAGCGCAGTTTCGAGAACAGGTCTTTGTAATGCGCCAGGTCGGCCAGGAGCGTCGCAGGCGTGAGCTGCAGGTTGGACTCGATCTCCGAGGTCGAGGTGGACAGAGTGTCCGAGGGACGTGGGCGCAGATCTGATGGTCGCTTTGGGGGTGGAGGTTGTGTTTGCGACGCGGTAATGGGCTCCGCGAGCGCGATGATTGAAAGCGGTTGTGCATTTTGCTGAACACGAAGGGTTTCGAGAGTATCGTGATAGTCCATCGAGTCCATTATTCAAAGCAGCAGAGACAATGATTAAGAGCGGTATTACAGGATGTAGTTCATCCGATGGTACCTAGGGCGTCTCGAGCAGTACGAGGTACTTAGATGAATCTGGAAAGGTAAACATGAAGATGCCAAGATGAGTTAGCAACCCACCCCCACATCGGGACTATGGTGACGCCGCCCTGTGGCCACCGGCATGGACTGGTCGTTGCAAAGAAAAGTTCCCGCCGAATTTGGCGGTCACCACCGCCGCTTTTGGGAGGTTCCTTCCCTCAATGCCAAGATCTCTCCCCCTCGTCCAGCACGTCAGCCCCATCCCCAGCGCCCAGACCATGAATCCTCGTTTCTCAGGCTGACCACGCCGACCTCCGCGCTCGTTTCTTACATCACACAACCATGCATCCTGCAATCAGTAAGGCGTACATATACAGTGGACAAACACACACACACACACACACACACCCACAAACACACAACAAAACACCACCAACAACCAAAAGACAAACAAACCAGAAGATCTATTGCCAACACCACCACAGGTGGATACAAAGCGCGCTGGCTCTTACACAACACAGAGGACGCACAGCACTGCGAAACGTCTCGGACAGCGC